AAAAAGGGTAAAGAGAAGGAAAAATCCTCGCCAATTTAGAAAAACCCACAAGCCCCGAAAAACGCAGGACAATTACAAGCAAAAACGAAATTTCAATTAGCGGCACTTAGCGTCAGCTGCCAGCGGAAAAACTCCCAAAAGAAAATAAAAGAAAAGGAAGATCTAATAACAACTAAATGATATTAGAGATGAAATTAGCTGTAGGAAATGCTCCTACCCGTAACGTGCCAGAGTCAAGAAATTGAATGCCACAAACCGCAGCCAAAGAAGCGACACTCTGTATGGAGATTCTGGTGTTTTTTTTTTTCTTTGTTTTTGTACATTAGACAGAAAAACAATTTTCATTTGCAAATTGCGTGTGTTGTTCTGTTCCATTCAGACGCCTTTTTGTGTGTTGTTTTGTGCATTTTCCATTAGATTTTTAACATTTGAAATCGTTTTTTGAATCGCAATTTTGCGTAGTGATTTCTTTTGCATTTTCTAATTGCTAGCGTAACTACTGCAAATACTCGTATGCAATTTGGTAAAATTGTTTTCGGGTTAACCAGAGCTTAGGAAATTGTGTACTTAATTGTTATTTAGAGAATAGTGATATCTGGAAATTGTCTAATTATAAAGTGAATTTTGTCTAAATGGATAATAGAAAGTATGGGGGGGGGTTTGGAAAGGAAGTTGACTACATAAAATTAAAGGAAAGGAGGGGACAGAGATTTAAATGGAGAACAGCGTTTAAAGTGATTTTAGCGGAGAGAGAATGTATATAAAATATCGTATACGAGTGTTATAATATTTTAGAAATATTTTGTATTCTAATGGCTATTATTTTAAGTGGAATTATGCTTATGCATCTTTATAAACAGTACTTATTTTAACTAATGTCTCTTTTATTTTGTTGCAGATTCCTTGACCCTCTGGGTAGTACTTTTGATTTAAAATATTTAAATGCAATATTCAATTGATTCAAATTTCATTTAAGATAAAATGCAAAAACCTTTTATGTATTATGGAAGGCCATATTTTATTTATAAAATTTCAGATAATTCAATATCTTAATGGAACTTCAAGCATTCTATGGATCTTTCAAAAATGTGATTTGATATGTTGACTGTTTGGTATAAATGAATTTTCGATATAAAATTATCTCTATTAATTCAGATATTGCTCTCAGAGACTTAATATAAATATTTAAAATATATCCATTTGTATTTTCTCTCTCTAAATACCAGCACCGGATTATATCTGATTTGAATACACCAAAGCTCACACATCCTTTCCATAACTCTTTTTTTTGTTTTGTATTTTTTGCCCCAAAGTAAGTAAATATTTAAATGCAATATTCAATTGATTAAAATTTAATTTAAGATAAAAAGCAAATACCTTTTATGCATTATGAAAGGCCATAATTTATTTATAAAATTTCAGAGAATTCCTTAAAGGAATTTCCAGAATTCAATGGAATATTCAAAAACTCTTTCAAAAATGGGATTTGATTAATTCAAAAGCTCTCAGAGCTTAATTTTTTATTCCTTGTTTCCTCCGACCCCGTGCGCCCCCCCCCTTTTGTTTGTTTTTTGCCCGTTTGCGTTTTTTGTGCCTTAGTTATGGGCCTTTTTTTTCGGCTTGGTTCCAGATTTATGGCAACCTTTCAAAATGGGATTTGATTAATTCAAAAGCTCTCTGAGACTTAATATAAATATTTAAAATATATATCCATTTGTATTTGCTCTCTCTCTAAATACCCAGCACCAGATTATCTCTGTTTTACATACACCAAAAATCACACATCCTTTCTATAACTCTTTTTTTTTTTTTGTATTTTTTTGGCCGCAAAGTTTTTGGGTTCAAACATCAAAACATTCCATGCCATTACACAAATCCAAAAGTATCCTTTATGAAAGGATACCCTACGCTGCCTTCCTGTACTGCACTTCACCCCTCCCCCCCCCCCCCTGTCTCTAGCCCACAATGTTGACCGAGTATTTTGGATGATTGTCGAGCATGTGAAACTTCTTGAAGATAATAATAATTTAGTGCTGTTGAAATGACTTTTGACCATCACACACAATTGATACGACGATCCCCCCAGCTGTAGCTAGCTCCCTCTCACCCACCCACAAACACACACCACCCATACACCCATACACACACGTGTGTGAGTGTTCAAATAGGTTCGTGCCACATACCTTGGAATGCAACTGCCGCAGAGTCGAGTACCGGAGTCGACTCTCGGAGTAGTAGTCGTAGTAGTTTGCACAATCAAAAATTGGTGTAGGAGACGGCAGGAGAGAGGCAGACGGCAGGCCATTTGTTCGTTGCCGCATCTCAAAGAAATAAACAAAAGGCGAGGGGGCGAGGGGGAGGCATGCCGCCAAAATGCCGGAAAATCCACACATCCTGGGGTGGGGGGACATGGAATGGTGGGATATGTGGCAGCCACTTTGCATGCAGTCCGTACAACTTTCAAGCCACTGTTTTGTTGGCGGATTCCTCTGTGGCAGTGGGGAAAATGAATTTGTAAAAATTCACTTGTAATAATTTCTCGATTTTTGGAAAATTATTTGATTACACACACGTGTGTGTGTGCGTGTGTGGAACGCACCAACCAGGATCCCAGGCTTGCCAGCTTCATGCATGCACTGATGCAATGTCTGGCCGGGAAGAGGACGAAAGGCCAACCCCAGATCCTTATTTTGGCCCGGCTGCCAGGGTCATAAAATAAACTTCATCTTCAGTTCGTGCCGCCTTGCAGTTGGCGTTTGTCTTGTACACTACTACTTACTCGGCAGTTGGGATGCGCATTCATTCGCACACGAAATTCACAAAATTCACAAAACAAATAAAATAGTTTGTGAGGGAAATCCCACATGCCAGCAACCCGCACTTATCCGAATGCTCGTGGCTGCTAGAAGGCGATTATATATGATGTGATTTGCTGGAACAATGGCTGAGGATTTTATCTGTTGAGAAGAATTCGATTAGATGGGAAGAAGAAAACTTTTAAATTTCCATGGGTAAAATATGGAAAAATAAGGGAATACAAAATGGAATAGGAAAAGCAAGAGAATTGGAAAGATGTCTGTACAGATCGAGAGATACATATATAGGTAGATATATAAATCGATTTATGCTCAAAAGAGAGCTGGTTCAAAGTGAGTCTGGGTCTGGAGTCACAGCTTCAAAAGCTAAGCTTCAAAAATTGCGTACCAAAATAATGTATGGGTCTGTATGTTGCTCGTGGAAAGACTGGAATATGATCGATAGTTATAGTGATAGATTAATTGACGTTCAGTTTAGATGGAACAATAAAATTCTTACAACGAAAAAACAACTTCAGTAACAGATCTACTGAGGGACACTCTCTAATAGCTAATCCTAATCTAATCCTTCGCTCGAGAAACTCTTCAACTTCCCGCAGAACCCAAACCACAAATCATAATTTTAAGTCACTCTCTTGCCTATTGCCCCGTATTAACAATCTCTGAAAGCAGTAATCATATCAAGGCAATGTCTCCCTCTTTGCCCCCCTTCTGGCAAAAATGTTTCTTGGACAATTTTCCATATTAACCGCATATTTTTATGCGCCCAATTTGTTGTCCAGCCTCCAAATGGAGTTCCACTGCAATTGGCAAAGCAAAAGAAAGGGGATGAAGAAAAGTGTACGTTAAAATGAATTTACTGGAGGGGCAAGGGCCTCTGGCTGGCGAGCGGAAATTTCTTGTCTCGTTTGGAATTAACTTAAGTTTTGCATATAAATTTGTGTATTTAAAGATTGCATGGATCGGGGTCGGGGATGGGAACCCTCAGACTGGGTCCATGGCAGGAAATAGATTAAACTGAGGCAACACTTGCGCTATTTTGGTTTCCTCTTCCTTCCGCCTGTTAAATATTCAGAGACAGAGAGGGACACAGAGACAGAGCAAGCGAGGACACAGGTCGTTGAGGGTACTCCCCTTTCGGCTTCATCTTCGCACCGCATCGTGACAGCCAGCGGCATAAACTTTTCGAATCTTATTTGTAGAAAAAAGAAAAAGAACAAAAAAAAATATATTCCACGACTACTGTTGTTGTTGCGGTTGGCCCCCGTCCGGCATCGGGTAACAATTTCCGCAGCCAGCAGCCCCCAAAATCCCCCCATAGGCCACGACGCCACCACGCCACCACCACCACACCAGACCAGACCCCTTGGCCTCTTCTCGCGTCGCCCCGACCTTTTGCCTTAAATAACTTTCAATTTGAGCCAAGAAGAACGAACCCGCGGTGCGGTTCTGTGCCTATTAACCGTATGCCAGCGACCGCCAGCTCTTTCTCTGTGCCTCTCTCCATCAACTTCTGGGGTCGAAGAGGGGGCTGTGCGGTGCACAAGTCGACAATTTGTTGACTCGGGTTCCGGTGTGTTTATTAGTTCTTAGCCCTCGGACTCACTCGCGAATGCAAATTACATGACTCCTTCACGCCCGGATGGAGTGGGGGCGACCTGGAGACCCAACCTGCTGCCAGTTTTCTTTTCTAACAAGAAAATATCTGTTTTGAAAGGTGGATGATGTGGAGTGTAGTATTTGATATAAGTAACTATTTTGAAGTGTGGCTGTACTATTTTTATAAGAAAAATCCAGTTTGACGGTACACTTAGAATGTCCTCCATCCCCCGCTAAGGCCACAGCCAAAAGAGCAACTTCGAATGATCCCACCCTCTCACCAGCAACTTGTTCTGCACTCGAGATGCAGATTTTCTCTTAATATAATACTAGATAAAATATTCAAAAAAAATATATGTTGCCCCATAGGGATGGGGCTTTCTCGTGGATAATATTTTATCGATCTTATTTATTACATTAAATAAAAATAAAAGCAATAGTTTATTGGGTAAACTTAAATGCAAAGCGCAGCAATTATAACGGAATAGTAAGTGATTAAAACACAATTAATATTTATTAATATGCCCACACTATCGCAGTCTATTCAATGTATCGATACGATCAATCGATATTTTTTAGCCACAGCCAACTTCCCTCGTTAGAAAAGTGCTTGCAGCTTGACAAAAAATTAAATTGCTGAAGAGAACAAAAAAAGTGAGTTTTATAGACTATACGGAATGCAAACAAAATCAAAACACCCATCTGTCCACACACAGGGAAATCGAACAGCGAAAATGAGCACACAGGCAACCCAAGGTAGCTCTTCACCCTCCATCGCCGCTATGCGATCCCCCAGCAACGAGCCGGAGCAAGTGCCGGTCCACACCTTCGGCGAGGGCGTTTTGGCGACCCTGAACAGCCTCTGCATGAACAAGCTCTACTCGGACGTGGAGCTCGTTGTGGAGGATCAGCACCTGCCGGCACACCGCTTGATTCTAGCCGCGCGCAGTGAGTACTTCCGCGCCCTGCTCTACGGTGGCATGTCCGAGTCAGAGAAAAGCGTGATTCGGCTCCCAGAGGTGTCGCTGGAGGCATTTAAGATTATCCTGGGCTACCTTTACTCGGGCACTCTGCCCATATCCACTCTGGACGTGGATGCCTCCTTAAAGGTGCTCGGTTTGGCCAACCAGTATGGCTGTCTGGCCATCAGCAACGCATTCAAGATCCTGGAAGCAGCACGCCTCTACAATCTCGAAGAGCTGACCATGGAATGCCTAAAATTCATTGACTTTAATGGGGGCTCAATGTTAAACGATGATTCCTTCCTAATGCTGTCTGAGGAAATACTTGAAGAACTGCTGCCACGGGACACTTTCATTGCTGAGGAACTGGAAATCTTTCGAGCGGTATGCAGATGGAGTCGCCACAATCCGAGCGTGGATATCAAGTCGTTGCTATCGCTTGTACGTCTCCCTCTCATTGAAGTTAAGGACTTGGTGGGTACGGTTCGTCAATCTGGATTCGTTGACCCGAGCACAATATGCGACGTCATCGATAAGGCGATTAAGCTGGAGAACCTGCCCTATCGTGCCCACGTGTTGTCAGGTTTAAATGAGGCCTCAGAAGAATGGTATGCGAAACGTTTGATAGTGAACAATAATGAGACCGTAATCAAGATGAACTTCTGGTGCATTATTAATACTATATTAATTAAAAGTTGCCTATCAATCCCGTTAAACTGCACCGTGGAGATCTCTTGCGACAATGCACGCTGGGTTTGCGTGGGAAAATTTACATGTGCAGCCGGGGATTATTTGCCTGACATTATCAGCTTCAAGCGCAGGCCTGTTCGTTACATTCGGATCGTGCATCCAGAGAGTGGACGCAATAATATGTTGAAGGAGTTTCAGCTATTTCAAGCCTTTTTAAATGACGATATTCCCTAGGTGATCGATCTACTTGCGATACTTTTTGACAGTAGCGACCCCGGAGTGAGGGTCTGAAGACTTGTTCCTTCTCTTATTCCTTTAAGTAAACAATTTTATTGTTTACCTACTTCAATTAATTTCATCCAATGAATTATAGATAAAATAAATATAATATTTGTTGAAATAATATTTGTGTTGGGCTTGGAAGTTCGAAAAGAAAGACTTTTATCGTTAGCACCCACACTCGGAAGAATGTTAAGGGTGTTCAAAAGGTTCTGTTAAAGTGGCCACGCGTCTTGCAGCAACGCCCCTCGGTCGGTTGGGTGGCAGATATTTTTTACCTCGGACTCGCGCGTGTAAAGTGAATATGAAGTGAAAGAAATTTTTTTTGCATCGATTATAAATCAAAATCAAATAAAAAAGTTTCTCATAATTATATTCCTTTGTTTGCCCCCTTAATAGTTTTGTATCGCTTCGCAGACTGTGCTTCTGCCATGGGAAAAAAACTGGACACCCAGTAGAACTTTGGAATGGGGATGGATTCTACGTGGCAATGGGCAATTGTAAAGATGAAAGGCTGAAAGCGTTTCTTGAACCCCCTTAAAAAGTCAGGAGAAGAAGGCAGCAGCAGCAGCAGCAGCAGTAGCGGCGGCGACAATGGCCAGAGATATCCTGTTTAAGGACGCTACCCATTCGCTCATATTTGGCTTGTCGTTGCCCGTATAGAAAGTGGCGGTGTCATAAATTAAAACTTAAACTTTTGGAAATGTCAAGTATAAAACGGTAAATCTCCGCACACACACCACACCCAGCCACACACACACACACATACACTCTGCTGCCTCTGCCTGGAAATGAATTGCAGCAGAGGAGAAAGAGATTTGGGAGCCATGGAGGAGGCTTCGGCTTCGGCTGCCCACCCATTGAATGCGCATGTTTTAGTTTGCGGGCTGCGTTTTTCACTTGCTGTTGGTGCCACACACACACACACGTCAGATACGAGAAGGGTGCAAAGGGGGATGGGGGTTGGCGGAAAGGAAAAACTATATAGAGGGGCAGCGGCAGCACCAAGAAAAAGCACAACAACAACAACAGAGGCAGCAGCAGCAGCAGTTGGGGTAATATATAGGGAAAACTCCACCCGTTTCACATAAATTTTGGGCAAAAGGCAAACTTACAGATTATCCGCATTTAGTTGTAAAGGTTTTCCAGCACCCCCCCCCCACCCCACCACTCCACCACACCCCCAAAACAGCCAACCCTACAAAATGTGTTGTATTTCATTTTTGGCTTCATCTACCAAGCAGCCAAGGATTGGATCCTGCCACCTTCCATCCAGAGGAAAGTTTGTCTGGGCAAAACTGGACTGGCACCCAATGGCCCCTGTCGATGATTTACATTTGATTTACTTTCGCTGGACACTTCCCTCCCCGCCCCGCCCCCTTTTCTGTTTTAAGTTTTTTCCTCATTTACAATAAATTCTCATTCTCTCATTCGCTCATTCTAAATTTCTAATTTCTAATCATCATAAAATCTGATTATCATTTGCATAACTCCTCCACTCCACTGCGAGCCAAGCACAAAAACTTTGACACATTAAGCAGTCGGGCCCGACTCGGCATCGACAAATTTAAACAAGAACAAAAAAAAAAAAACCAAAAAATTATTTAAGTAAAATTTATGAAAATTAAAAAACTGGCAACAACTTTTCGGTCATTTGAAGAAATTTAATTGATCGCATAAATTCCTTGCGAGGGTGAGAATACAAACCACCCCGCCCGTGGGGGAGGTGGCACAACAAACAATTTATGTCAAGTATTCCTAAGGGGGAGCAAATTGACTGCAGGTTCTGGTGAAGGGGCAGGATTTGAGATGCTGGAGAGGTGAGGGACATCACAACGAATGAAGTGTAACCGCGAACATAATCAAATTTTCAGCATAGGTTTGCTCTCTCTCTCTCTCTCTCTCTCTCTTTGTCTGTGTGTTTCCCTTATACTTGTGGGAAATTGCCATCTTAATTTAAAAACAATTTTGGAACTTGCTTTTTTGCGTTCTTTTTTTCATATTTTGTTCTGCTGCCACATTTTTCACACAATTTTAATTTTACGCATAAACATTCATTTCCCTCAGGGGGGGCAGGCACCAAAAGTTGTGACCAGAAAATATGAAAATGCTAAAGGAAAGTGTGTTGAATAAATATTGTCTGCTGCTTATTGTTTATTAATTAATGGGTACTTACAGAAGATACGATAGTTGCAAGGGAACGGATTTTTTTTTAGGAAGAAACAAAGAAAGGATCACCAAGCGCATAGCACAAGGGGAGGAAGGATCAATAAAATATCTGTGCTAACTTTACTTTTTTTACTATTAAATTTATTATGGTTTTGGATATATCTGTTGTACAAGAGTGGAGATAAAAGATGATCTTATTAGCTGTCTTATTATTGCTCTTAGATCTACCGTTCTATGCATCTTTTTTTTATCATTATGATACCAGAAATTATTTAAAACATTTATTAATGTAATTATTTAGAGAAGGATATCGAAGTATTTCCCCTTGAAAAATATATATATAACAAAAACAAGAAATTTGCTTTCTATATATTATATTGTATGTTTAATGTGTTTTTGTGGTCGGAGCTGCACCGGTCTGCTCCGAACAGTAATATATTAGATAAAGCCACATTTAAGTAAATAATGTTAATATTAAGTATACGAATCTACCTCTATGACTAGGAATTAAGAGTACGCACTATTTATAGATGTTTTTTTCTATCATATTATACCCAAAACATTTTCAAAACCATATAAAACGGATCGTAACCTCGTCAGCTTAATGGGTTTTTTATTTCCTTTACTTAATGTAACTATTTTTTTTTAAATTAAACTATTTTTAATCTCACTCCACAATAAGTTTCAAATAAATCCCTATGAAGTCGTCAAATAAACAGCTTATGGAGGTGAGGATTACTGATGCTATTTTACAGACTTCTTTCATCACCAAAATTCTTTAATTTACTAATGAAGAGCTTGCAGCACTCACAGATCTCCTTAAGACCCTGGGGGACTGCGACTGCTCCACATGAAAGCCAAATCCCTTAACTCTTGGTCACATGACCAAACAGGACACCAGAACTCACTTCCTACACCCCCCACCCCACCCCGTTCCAATCCATTGCTGGGCGGGCTGGGCTCCCTGGTTGCCGCCACACAGTCAATGCCAACACAAAGATGATGAATTTGGACATTTTGTGTGCGTTGCAAAGTCACTTGCTTAAAAGTTATTAGGGATTAAAGAGTTGAGGCAGAAGCAGCAGCACTGGCAGCAGCAGCAGAGAGGCTGCTTCATTAGAGCAAAGGATGGCCAAGGAGGATTCGGACTCGGGTATTCACATGTGGCAAAGCAGAAGGCAGAAGGACGGACACCAACGCCCCCCCAAGTCATGAGTGGGTTTCGGCTGAGAGCAGGCGTGGGTTGGTGGGGGTGGGTTTGCAATGTTTACTTACCTTTGGTGCAAAGTTTTTGAAAATCCTAAAAGGAAATCACTTTAGACGCGTCCAAAGAGATGCAGCAAAGTTTCGTTAAACCATCTCTGGCCGCTCTCTCCTACTCCAGCCACAAAAGCCAAACTTCTCCCATGCCCAGAGAGTGGAGGAAGTGTGAACGATTATGAGGAGCTGATAGCAGGCAGATGTGGGGAGGAATTCGCTCTCTTACTTGGTTGATGTTTTAATGTGGCGGGGGGCAAACCGGTTGGAACTTTTGAGACATCTTAATTCCTTTCGAGATAAATCAGAAATTTCCAAAAACGAAAAACTCCCTTGGTTTCTTTTCTTTTTTTTTCTTAACGAAAATTTGTATTTTTATTTACAGGATTTTTTTTTTTTTTTTGCTTTCTTTGGGGAGAAGGAACTTATGCATTTTTATGAGCTGCAGGGATACCGCTCGCTCTCACTGCCTCTCTGTGGGTGGGTGGATGTGTGTTTTTGTGTGTGTGTGTGTGTGTTGGGTTTTATCCTTTCATAAATGGGTCCAATGGCAAACTGATTTATGCCACCGCAAGCTGCAGCTCTCTCTCTCTGTCGTTCTTCTTCTGTTGCAGCTTCTCTTTCTGTACACCGGAGCAGCTTTAGCTTTTCCTCTGATGTCGACGGCGGTTGGCGGGGGGCCATGGCAGGGCAGGGCGGAGCAACAAAATAGCAAAACGACAAAACAGAAATTCCAGAAAACAACATAAAACCGATTGATTTATTTTGACAATGCTACCATGCAGTGTCGACCTCTATACCAGGACTCAGGACTCCAGTACCCCATGGCCCCATACCCATCCCAACCCATCCTATCCCATCCCATACCCAAAGCGACGCCACGATCCCCCAAGCGGTAGAAGACCCGTCCTGTGGCGTCGGCGGCGGCGGCTGCTGCTGCTGCTGCTGCTGCTGCTGCTGCCATTGTTTGCTCCCCTTCCTCTGTGCTGTCTCTTTCTACTGTCTGTGTATCCGTCTCTTTCTGCTGTCTGTTGTCCCTGTCTCGGTTCCCATACTCCACATCGACATGTTCCGTTCGCATTTCGGACTCCCAGCACCCGTTCCCTGCCCGCCTGCCTCCAACCAATCCCAATCTCTGGGCAAAAAGTTGTCCTCGTTGTCCGCTTTGTAAAATATTTTATTTGCACATCTTTCTTATTTTAATCCTTCATTGCATTCTGTTGGGTTTGGGGGCCTTGAGCCTTGAGCCTTGGAGCTCTCCAACCTTCTCCACTTCCCCTGCTGATGCCGCCTGCGGGTGGTGGCTGGAATCTGTGATGTGGCAGTGCATGAGGGGTGTGTGGGTGGGTGGGTGTTGTGTGTGGGTGGGTGGCGCTGCGTGTGTTTCTATGCTGTGGCAAATGGCCATAAAACACACGTTAATTACCCTCAAAGCAGCGTCAACTATTGCTGCTCTGCTTTCATTTATGCAACGATTCTTTTTTGGCGTCTCCTTTTAGAAAGAGATGTGGAGATATTTTTGCAGAATTTTTCAAATCAAAGATGGGATCATTGGGTGCTTTGAAGACTTCAAAAGATTTGCTATTAAATTAAAATTAAGTTTACTTTAAGCAAAGCTTTTCCCACGAATAAAAGTCTCTTCAGGCTAAAGTTAGGATAAATGTGTAAAGAATTATCGAAATCAAAGTTTGGACTAAATATTTACCTGAAGATTTTAAAAGATTTTCTAAGAAAAAAGTCAGCAATCTGCAAGGAAATTAAGATTTAAAAAACGAAAATTTGTATTTTTATGTACACCGTTTTTATTGCTTAAATATATTTGTATAAGAAAAAACGAAGAGAAATGTTTAAGAATCGTTTGAACTCAGAGTCGAAATTTCGGTCATAGAATCCATTGATAAAAATGTCAAGAAATTAATTAAAGAACCCAATAGATTTTTCGCAAGCACTAATGTCTGTCCTAAGTCACCCAAGAAATCTGCCTTTCATTGTAGTAGCTATATTCTCTCTTAAGATTAAAACCATCTATGAAATATGTTAAAATGCTTGCAAGATTAATGCAGAATCCTCGCTTTAGCCACTGAAAATCTTTTCAAGAGGCAAGAATAGCAGATAATTTATTTCGCTATGCCTAAAGTCATCCATAAATAATAATAGAAAAACCATAGCGAGTCTGCTTCGATTTTTTTATTATATATATTTTTATGTCTTTTCGAACTTTTATTGATTAATTTGGATTCTTCAGAATCAGATCAAAAGAGCCTACGACGACTGCCACGACTGCCATTACTTGGGTTGAGACCTGCAGAAAGCAAAAGAACATTATAAATGGGGTATACTCTTGCACATATAGCAATGCCATGACGATGACTTACGTTCACGAACGGGAAAGGTAATGCTGGCATCGCCGCCACTCAAGCGTGGCAGATCGGTGGGGCCACTAAAGAATTAGGTTTTGGATTAATTAATTAATCAGTTAGTAGAGAATAATATTTTGAGCTGGGACTTACTGCAATCCATTGCGAGCCAACATTTGACGGGCATTCTGGTACATGAGAGCCATGCGGCGATACTGGGCAGCACTTATGGGTTGAACGTACATTGGGCCATTGGGATTGGCACGGAAGCTGTCGGAGAGATCCTCCAATCCCGGGGGTATATTGGGATCGTTGTGGAAACCCATCGGATTCGGATTGCTGAAGATCTGCCTGGGGTTTCCATGGCCTTGGCCATAGTTGAGATTTCGCTGGGGCAAATTCATGTTGAAATTAACGCTGCCTGCCCCGCCCTGGCCAAAGTTCCCCCCGCCGTTGGCCTGACCAAAGAGTCCAGTGTTTCCTTGTTGTCCCACGTTGCCGGCAAGTTGCATGCCACCCATTTGTGCGGGTGGATAGAATGCCTCGGGTGCCAGCATGTTCATCGAGTCCGCCAGCTGGGCGTATGTGGCATAGTCGATCTCTATGTTTTGGTCCATAATTTCTTAGATTCAAATAAAAGTTGAAAACAAAAAAAAAATTGACTTATTTTAAAAGCGACGAAAAATGTTCGAAAATATTCAAGAAATTTTACTAGATTTTTGAACGTACGGAAGAAGGCTAGAATTGGAATGAGAATGAGAAACCGGACGGGTTGAGGGCAAATATCACAGTGCAAAGATTAAAGGCATGCTAGATGTGAAAATGAAAATGCACGAATACCAGATGTGAATAAAGCGAAATAAAGGAAATATTTTGTAGGAAATAGGCGTATGGAAATATGTCAAATAAAAGAAAAGAATTCGCTTGAAAATCTGTTACTCGAAATAATACCAGAGGATTTCTGCAAGCACAGTGTTAGAACCGTCTGCTGCAGTCTACCCACTCCAGGGGAACTACTACCCCTACTTCCTTCTCTGGACTCGTACAACTTTAATCACCTCCCCTATACCAACCCCCTTAAATAAGCAACCTTTGACAATAAATTCTATTTAAATGCATTATTTAATTGCCAATAACCAAAATATCGAATACAATTTCCAAAGGACTTGTATAAAAGCACGCCAGTTTTTGTTTTGTTTTTTTTTTTTTTGTTCTGTTTAGTAGTAGGAACTGCCATTACCACGCGACTGCTGGTACTGCTGGGACTCGGCACCGCCCAGACCTGGCAGAGAGTTGTAACCGTAGTCGCCTTGGCCACTGCCCTGGCCACCACGCTGTTGCTCCATGGGAGAACTGTAAGAAAAAAGATCAGAAAATGAACAGAAAGGAACTATAAAATATCAAAGATTTATCCGCTTACTAAAGACCATTGCGAGAGTTCATCTCCTTGAGCATTTTGTTGTAACGCAGGGGACTGCGATAGCCAGGTCCACCGAAGGCAGCAGAGCCGGCTTGGCCACGCGACTCCTCCTGGCCAAAGCTATACTCCTGGCTGCGTCCCGACATCTGGCCCATGCCATCGTAGTTCATGCCATAGCCCTACACAGATGGCATTGAAGCTTCTATAGTTTGGTGTTGCCTGAAGAGCGCATCCCTCGGCACTTACCTCTGGGGGCTGGCCATCGGGAACGGACATGCCATAGCCCTGCATCGACTGATACGATTGCATGTTGGTGCCGTTACCATTTCCATACTCCATGACTATAATTTAATTTAGTTTCTTTTTTTTTTGTTGGTCCAAAAAAATTATATATAAATAAATTTTGAGAAATTTTTGTTTTATTTTGTTACTAAGAATTTTGTAATTTTTAGAATTTAAGCTAGAGCTCTTTACACTCTGGAATCTGGTTTACGAATGAACATTTTATGTATAGCATTTGAGAGCTACAAATTTAGGGAGATTTTGTTCGATTTCCAGGATAGTTTGATGTGAAAATTTTGACGAAAAAAATTGGGATTAATGTTTCACATTTTCTTTGGTTTGGAGCTGCCCCCCAAAAAATAGATTTAAAAAATGCCTCAAGAAAAAGGTGAATTTTAACCGATTTGGACAGCTTATCTGGGGCCAACCAACCACATTGCAGGCAAAGTTTCTGTTCAGGCAAAAGAAAAAAAAAAGTGTAGAATCGCCATAATGGAAATCAAAGCAAAGGGAGAGAGTACCCCCAGCAGGAGCAGGAGCAGCAGCGGCAATGAATATGCAAACGGCTGAACGTCGCCGAATAATTAAAATCGAGAAGGAGGAGCAGCAGCAGCAGCATCTTCCAGTGGCAGTGCCAGTGCCTTGCGTGGCTCTGGTTCTTTGCTTTGCCGGATTAGAGATAGATACCGGCAAAACACTTTACGGCGGACAATTAAGTGCGCCTCCGTAATCTGTCTGTCGTAATTATGGCGACGCGGCGTGTATTTATCTGCGGCAATTAACGCCAAGTTCCCAGCAAACTCCTCACATATTTCACATCTCCGAAGATGGGCCCCCCTCCCCCATCCCGCCAGACACTTGAGAGCTTTAATTAAAACTAGATAAAAGCCAATTGCAGTGGGCAGGCACACCCAAAAACATAGTTTATTTAACGCATTGGTAAGCCAAAATAAATCATTGACCTGGCTTCTGCACCACAATGATGAAGAAATTCTCTTCGGGTAGAATCATCACCTCGTGGTTGAGGGTGCGCAAGCGTAGAGATGTCAATTCATTCGAGGCATCCATATTCTGGATCATCTTTGAGCCCTTCAACAGCAGATTATTGGCGAGGGCCGTATAATGGACAGTCAGTGTGTACTCCATGGTGGTCTTGATGGGTATGGCAAAGGCATCCACAATTATGATGCCCGCCACATTCGGATAGTTGCTGTAGCGCTTCAGGATATCTTCGATTTCAGCAGACATCTTGGACGAAAACCAAAAATAAATATATATACGAAATATATGTACTGTGAATTCTCTGTGAAATTGATTTGATTTATTTTAGGTGCTCCAAGCCAGACAATAGATCTGTCTATCTTTCGCTTGCTTCGATTTGGTAATCTAACAATCTAGCAAGCCTTGGCAATCATATGAGTATTTTGCATATCAATCAAAATAATTTTTTCAATACCAAACCATCTTTCGGCGAGTAAAAATCTATCTAAAAAAAAAAAAAAGTAAAATAAAACAAAATTTAATTATTTCCAGTTGGTATTTTGTGGATCCATATGGAAACTTTTTTTTGGTTTAAACTTTTTGTGTAATCTTTGGCTAAAACATTCCTTTTTAATTAAAAAACATTAACAAAGAAAGTAATTACTATGGAGTACGGCGGAACATGGATCAACCAGGAAATAAATCCATCAAACTTTGGTTGTCCAACGACAGAGGGCTCCGATGTAAGTAGCGCAGAAAAAGCGACTCTTTTCTGGTATTTATAGCAGCGTGGTTTTGCGCTCCTCTACGCTAGCTCTACCAGCAATATATGGGCATGGATCCGGTGTATACTCGCCAGCCCGAGGTGAACAATGGCCCTCAGCAGGACTTCTATGGCTATGGAGATGTCGGTTATCGCAGTGGCAGTCCCATGCGACAATACCGATACAACAGGGCCATTAACTCACGAAATGGACTACAGTAAGTGACATCTGATGAGTAAATATACCAAATATACATATATATTCTCATGTGTGGCTCACCTTTAGTTCGCCCATGGAACTTGCTTCTGGCAATCACAGATACGATTACTGTACTTCTCTGCCAGGCATTGGGCAGTATGAAGTGCCCAATTTTCAGCCAGGAAATACCAGAAGTCCATGGAAAAGACGTTGAGCCAACGACGATCTTTGAAAGTCTCTCAAGTATTTTATTTTAGGTGCAAATGGTAATGAAATTTGGGGGCCATAATCATTTAGTACACTGAACCAAAACCACTATTGTAAACCAAAATCATACTTATTTTTTAATTAATTCATTTCGATTTATGTTCAATGTTGCTTGTTGTTTTGTGGAGGTGCCATACGGATGCCTCTCTGGGGGCGAATGGGATAGTCGTAGAGCGGTCAAATAAGACGAATTTCTAAAATTGTTTTACCTCTATGACACACCATATGACTAGCCCTATAATTGGTGCTATGGTCCAAATTGGGCAACTATTTATTTTCGAAATTTTTGCAAAAAAAAAACTAATCCACTCGCACGGTAAAAATATGGAAATGGTTTTTTCGGCGATCAAATCAAACTCAGTTTTCAGCGAAAGTTGGTGCAGTATATTGATGCAAATTTCTGTTCATGCTGTGCATTGATGTCCCTTTCAAATGGTTGTAGTTTTACGCAAATATGTTGCGTAGTTTTTTTTTTATTTAAGAAAACTTTAACTAAACTTTTTTAGCAAGGTACAAAAATTCCTGGGTTAATAACAGTTCAAAATATACCGTTAGCCGGGATTGAAACATTTTTCTCGTATTTTTTGTAGATTGCTGAATATGTTAGAAAGATTTTGTGCAATAACTTTTCTCAAGAGTCGTCTATTTTATAAGATTTATTATTAAAGAATAGAAAATATGACAAACCAAAAAATACACCGAAAAAGTGAATGAGTTTTCACATTAAAGTGAATTAAATTCATTAAATTTAAATAATTTAAACAGAATTATATGGAAATGTGTTTTTTTTTTAAACATTGCATTTGTTGGGCTTGGTGGACCCCATATGTATTTTGTTGTTGATGTCGCTACGAGGAGTTATTCCCTGGAGTATTGTTTTTTTTTCTCTTTGTGGGTGGCAGATCGAAGACAGTGAGAGAGATGTTTTAATGGGTTTGCAGTGAGTTTTTTCCCTCAAGAGAGTACAGCATACAGATACGTACATTTATCATTATTAAAGATCATTTGTATTTGTCTTAATTGCAAGACTTTAATCACATTTTACTCGTACAATCTAAATCCTAATTCAATCTAAAGACCTAAGAATAAGACTCTATTCCCTGCCCAAAGCAAACGGATCATTCGCTGAGGTCTTTACATAGAAAATTCCACGCTTATGCAGCGCTGGTTCCCCGGCCATTTGTACGGTCTGTCGCTGGCTCTGATCACACTGCCACCGGCCATTGTCCCGTGTGCAGGGCGTGCCCCAGAAACCCTTGGGCGAATTGATGGACTCGGCGAACATCGCATAGGAACGAATGTGCGAGCAGCCCAGATAGTAGCAGCTCGGCTGAATGGCTCCATGGTTGGGATAGAAGGTGGCGCTGCCCGTGGGACGGCGGAAACCGAAATTGGCACTCGTGTGCATGGACTCCACGTACTTGGCATCCGTGGGATCGATGCGAAACTCGGCGCTGCGATGCCGGAACTTGGGACCCGCCGGATCCAAAGCAAAGATCGTGTTGACTTGGTCGGGCTTCAGTCGCTTGCCAGCTGCGCCCGCGATCTGTGCGCCCAGCGAGTGGCCGATGAGGTACATGCTGTCGTAGCTGGCGCCGTAACGACTATTCAGGCTCCTGGTAAACTGCGCCAATTGGGCGCCAAAAATCTCAATTAGTTTCACCACCGAAAAGTAGTTGACATTCGCGGACGAGGCACTCCAGTCGGCCACAATCACATTGTATTCGCCGCGCTTCAGATAGGCGTTCTTCACGTCCCGATTGAAGGAGCCACGCGACTGACTCATCCAGCCGTGTATCATCAGCCTGGTGGGCAGGGAGGCATTGAAGCCCGCATGGCGCCACTTCTTCTCGCTGCTGAAGTCCAGCTCGCGGCCGCATTCGGGGAACTCCCGCTTGAACAGGTAGAAATGCATGCGAAGCTTTTGGCTGCCAAACGGATTCAGATTGCCGACAATCTTCTTGATGAAACTCAAATCCAAGAACGATCCAATGCCCCGCGATTCGCTTAGATCCTTGTCGCAGGTGTTCCACTCACAGTGCTCGGCGCCCTCGTACTCATCGTCCAGCGATGCCAATATATCATCCGTTTCTGGCTCCTCGGCGATGGACGAACGCGAACCGATACCATCGGGCATTTCATCCTCCGCTGGCATCATATCCATAAATGCATTCATCTCCGTGCCATAGTCGCCCTCGACATCGTTCTGACCGATGGATGGTTTGCCTTCAGCTACAGATGCAGATACATATTTGTAGATTTGTGCGTTCTATGTATTCTATTCGAGCCAAGTTAATGCTTACCATATTGTGCGACCAGCAGCAGCACTGCAAATAGTTTAGCCCACATATTCCAAAGTCGATTTATTGGATCAGCTGCAACGATCAAACTATCAATTCCACTGACAATTGCACTCTGTTGCTCGCTTCTAGATTGCCAGCTTGTTTTATAAGCAACGCCAGAGAGAGAGCAGAGCCAGAGCCAGATTCCCAATGCGTTGCATTCGCTGTGTGTTCTGTTCTGATAGTGCAACACGTCACCCGCTGACATTAGCAGCCGATCAGCTAATCGGCTGGGAAAAAGATCGCCAACCCAGGTTTATGGCAGTGGCTGTGGCCTGGGAAGGGGACAGCATTTATTAACAATGAATTGTTGACTGATTACTTAATTTTTTATATATTTTCCGTACATTTTTATTCGTTGTGCGAAAGAAAGATTTATGGAAAAGAGCCAATTTAAACGTAATTTCTATTATTATTAAAAAATATATATACAGAACCCCTTTCAATGCAGCCCCTGTCCAGACATTTGGTTGCCAGCTGATTTGAGGCATTGCCCACTGATTTCTATATTGGCACGCGTTTCTTCCCAAGCAATAAGCCAACGGAAACGTGTTCAACTTTTTTTTATTTCTGTATTACCGGTTCCACATGCATTTGATGACGTAGCACCTGGGCACCAGAGCGCATGGGAAATTCTTAGCGAACTAACAAAAAAAAAAAAAGTAGCTGCTAAGCGTCGACTATTGGCAATTACAATTATCATCTGGGCGTTTACATCCACAGATTATAGAATCGCATTTTCAGTGTCAAACTAGCTCATAAAGTGCCGCGATTTAAAGTCAATTGATTGTGTGGGTCATCTAATTGGATTGTGCACAACAACGGGGAAATATCACTTGGGGCGCATTATTAGTGTGATATTTTGCTTGGGCAGACTTTTGTATATGTCACAGATTGCATTTAATTATTTTGATTGAAATATATACATAACACAATATCAGAATATCTACCCAAAACTTTTGATAGAATCTAAATGTGATTTTGAAGCTAATCTGGAATAAATATACAAAGTTTCTAGGCCGGAAATTGGTTTTACAAATACAAAAGACTGCCGTAGAATATATCGGAATATATCAGTGTGAATTATATCGCAAACATATTAAAAATTAAATTAATTTTTCTACACATTTAAAATACAAAATTTAATACAAATTAAACAAATTTTAGCAACAGCTTCATATCGTACCATAACTAGTAAAAAAATTCTCTTCTGCATATTGAAAATAAAATTTCGATCTATCGAATAGAATCTGGAATCAAGCTGTAGGGCATTGAGCTGAAGTACTTACAAGAAATTGTGCTTACAAAAAAATAAATAGCTAAAGAAAAGTCAGCTTATAGAATATACGGATTGCAAATGTAAGCCAAAACTGACCTGTCCACACACAGAGAATTGCAGTAGCGAACAGCCAGACAAGCCACGCCACCTCTTCGTCCTCCTTCCTTCCAAGAAACTTATTCTTCACTCGAGGAATGCACAAAGATGCAGATTACTCTTAATAATACTGTATAAAATATTTAATAAAACAATTTGCGCCATTAAAGCCCATAGGGACAGAGCTTTGGCATGGAGAATATTTGATAGATCTGATTACATACTACATAAAACTTAAACTTAAATGCAAACAGCAGCAATTATTAGGCAATTCATAGGCAGAATTAGTTAATTAATTAAATTAATATTTGTTAAAATGTTCACACTATCACAGCTTGAAACAAAATTAAATTGCTGAAGAAATCGAAACAGAGTAAGCTAATAGAATATACGCAAAATATTCACACACTGAAATTGAATAGTAAAAATGAGCACACAGGCAAGCCAAGCAACCTCTTCACCCTCCATCGACGCTATGCGATCCCCCAGCAACGAGCCGGAGCAAGTGCCGGTCCACACCTTCGGCGAGGGCGTTTTGGCGACCCTGAACAGCCTCTGCATGAACAAGCTCTACTCGGACGTGGAGCTCGTTGTGGAGGATCAGCACCTGCCAGGGCACCGCATGATTCTAGCCGCGCGCAGTGAGTACTTCCGCGCCCTGCTCTACGGCGGGTTGTCCGAGTCCACGGAAAGAGTGATTCGGCTCCCAGAGGTGTCGCTGGAGGCATTTAAGATTATCCTGGGCTACCTTTACTCGGGCACTCTGCCCATATCCACTCTGGACGTGGATGCCTCCTTAAAGGTGCTCGGTTTGGCCAACCAGTATGGCTGTCTGGAGGTCGAGACGCCACTAGCCAAACATCTCTTTGAGAATCTGGCCATCAGCAACGCATTCAAGATCCTGGAAGCAGCACGCCTCTACAATCTCGAAGAGCTGACCAGGAAATGCCTAAAATTCATTGACCGTAAAGGGTGCTCAATGTTAAACGACGATTCCTTCCTAATGCTGTCTGAGGAAATACTTGAAGAACTGCTGCCACGGGACACTTTCATTGCTGAGGAACTGGAAATCTTTCGAGCGGTATGCAGATGGAGTCGCCACAATCCGAGCGTGGATATCAAGTCGTTGCTATCGCTTGTACGTCTCCCTCTCATTGAAGTTAAGGACTTGGTGGGTACGGTTCGTCAATCTGGATTCGTTGACCTGAACACAATATGCGACGTCATCGATAAGTCTTTTAAGCTGGAGAACCTGCCCTATCGTGCCCACGTGTTGTCAGGTTTAAATGAGGCCTCAGAAGAATGGTATGCGAAACGTTTGATAGTGAACAATAATGAGAGCGTAATCAAGATGAACTTCTGGTGCATTATTAATATTATATTAATTAAAAGTTGCCCATCAATGCCGTTATACTTCACCGTGGAGATCTCTTGCGACAATGCACGCTGGGTTTGCGTGGGAAAATTTACATGTACAGCCTCGGGTTATTGGTTTTACTTCACGCGCAGGCCTGTTCGTTACATTCGGATCGTGCATACAGAGAGTGGACGCAATAATATGTTGAAGGATGTTGAGCTCGAAGCCCTTTTAAATGACGATATTCCCTAGGTGATCAATCTACTTGGGATACTGTTTGACGCCTGTGATTAACATGCTTTAATTTCTTTTTAATGGATTAAAGATTAACAAAAATATAATATTTGGAAGTACGAACAGAAAGAATTTCATATCAATCAGTTGTTGTGCGCTAGCACTGTTGCCACCCACACTTGGAAGAACGTTAAGCGTAGCGCTGTTATCCTCCCCTAGCAGCACCATAACAGAATTCATGTGGTGACTGTTAGGCGCAGCACTGTTAATACATTTTACATAGCCATGTGTGTGACATGTAGCAAGCACGGGCTGCACAAATGCATTTTTCGCTCTCAATTCGTGGAGAGTTTGCAAAATTTGCTCTCAATTCGTGGAGAGTTTTAAAACTTGCTCTCTTTTCAGTGGAGAATGGAGTGTTTTTGTGGAGACTTTCCCCTCATTTTCGTGGTGTGGCAGCATGTTGCTGAAATTTTTCCCATACAAGAAAAAAATTATTCGGCGCACTTTCCAGCACTAAATATTACCGCGCAGTTGCATATTTTTAATCGCTGAGACTTTTAGTGCTGGAAAGTGCGCCGAATAATTTTTTTCTGTTCACACTGGGATAGCTATCGAAGTTATCGTTATCAAAGAAATGAAACTATCAATGAAATAATGAAACGCAGCTATCGGTATCAAAGAAAAAATGAAATTATCGGTATCAAGTAAATAGCAGCCCGCAGCAACTACGAATTGCACGAGTCTGGCAACGCCACAAAAACGACGCCACATTCGTTTTATGTTGTTTTTGTTTGAAGCTTAATATGTTAAGAATCCAATGAAAAGGAGTTCTGAAAACTAGCCAATTTTGTACAAAATTGAGTAATGAATTGGATAAAATTATTTGTTTATGGCTGAGAGGGCTAACTAGCTAGTAAAATTAAACCGAATATCAAAATCGAGGAATATCAACGCATCTGGTCGTGTCCGTCGGTATATTTACGGTATATTTTGATAGTGACATGGTATATTCCGGTATATTTCTTAGGGTCAGGCGGTATAAACATAAACAAAAGAAGAACAAATTTTCCACGGTGATTGGATAGCCCGCAACGCGGCCTGGCAAATCAATATAGAAAATGAGCATCGACGACGTCATCTATGTAATCTGCCTGCTGGCCTGCATCGGGGCCGGCAACTATGTGCGTAAGGTGCGCGATGAGTCCCAACGCAAATTGGTATCCACGGCATTGGGTGTGATTGTGGTGGTCATTGTTTCGGGCCTCCACAGCCTGCACTGCATTGCCTCCTTGGCATTGGGCACCGCCAGTGTGCTGCTGGTGCATCCAAGGTGAGTTTCAGCATATCAGAAACGATTTGATAATTATGATATGATTATGATTGCTGCAATATGATGCCAATTCCTCGCTTCCAGCAAATGCCATTTGGTTACATTTGGCATTATGTTTGGCTACCTGGTGTTCTTTCGGCTATTCGACTTCTACTGGAGCATTCCCGGCCACACGAACATGATACAAATGATACTTACACTTAAGGTTAGTTGCATAATAAGAGAGCTAGCTGTGTGCTGATTTGCAAGGACTAAACTGAACTGAACGCTTCTTCCTCACTTTGTGCGCCAGGTGTCGGGCATTGCCTTTGAGAAAACAGCCGCCTGGAAGCGTATACGTGAAAAGGATGAACAGGAAAAGAATGTAGAGCGGGATGTGAACAGCGAAAGTCCCATTGAGATCACCGACTACGATCTGGAGTTGCAGCAATTGACAGCCGCCGAAATAGTGCACTACAGCTTCAATTACATTGGAGTACTAACAGGTAGAGAGAGCGAGCGAGTGAGGGTTACGTCTTCATAACAAAGTCCAATCCATTCGAGTGGCTGCCGCCCTCAATTACTGATACAGCAAACGTGTATCTGGCTTTGGAACAGACTAAACAATGATCAACGATGACTGACTAATCGGCATGTTCTTTCTGTACAGGGCCCTATTATCGCTATCGCACATATAGGGACTACTTTGAAATGCCATTTAAGACGCATGCCCCGAGCATTGGTGCCACCATTGAGAAGCTCAAGTGTGCCGCCTTCTATTGCGCCCTGTATCTGGCCAGCAACTACGTTTGGCCACTGGATGTGAGTCTACACTGCCACGCCACAGCCTCTGCCATACACACGATTAAATTGATCCGCAAATCTTCCCTTTTGCAGTACGCTTTGAGCGATGAGTTCTACAATGATCGGTCCTTTGTCTACCGGCTGCTGTATGTGTGGCCAACATTCTTCACATTCCGGGCACGCATCTACACGGGCCTCACCCTCAGCGAGTGCGTCTGCACAATGGCCGGCTTTGGGGCCTATCCGGACGATGCGGATGCCAACAATGGCGAGGGACCACGCAAGCGATATCAGCACTTGAAGCGCGATGCGGACAAGCATACGTATAACTTTACAACGATTGTCAATACGCGTGTGATGGATGTGGAACGTTGCTGGACCTTCCGCGAGGGCATGAAGCACTGGAATGTCTGCGTACAGTACTGGCTGGCCGTCAATGTCTACAAGCTCTTCCCCAGCAAGAAATACAGGTGTGTGTGTGTGTTTGATGAGTGTTCTGTGGACAGCTTTTGTGCCTTTATTGCTAGCTATATTGCATTGTATCGCTATTGTAATTGTTCTTTCCATTGCCACTGATCGCAGGGTTGGCAGGTATTCGTACACCCGTAGTGCTGTCATTTATAGATCTCTCGTTCAGTTTGCCTCCATTAATATGCTCCTGAAATCCTTTTAGAACTGGTGCCACACTGCTCTGTTCGGCCTACTGGCACGGATTCCGGCCGGGACACTATTTCTGCATCATGGGCGCGCCCTTCTATGTCGCGCTAGAGGATATGTGGCACAAGCTGGTGCGCAAGGATGCCACTGGCACCGCACGGACCGTCATCGATGTGCTCTTCTGGATATTCAAGTGGTTCGCTTTCAGCTACCTGGGCTTGGCCTTCCTGCTCTCCTCGTTCGGCAACATCTGGCGTTTCTATAGCTCTGTGTATCACATTGGATACATCAGTTGGGCGGCAATGATTGGACTTGGCTTTTTCCTAACGAACCAACGGAAGGCGGCCGAACGTCGCCGGCAGAAACGTGCAGCTGCTGGAGACACTGCTGCTCCAGTGGAGGAGAAAAAGGCGCAGTGATTACAGGCTACAGGGTTAGCTTTAAAGGGCAGTTCAAATACAAAAGAACTGGCCCCACTTGTTAAGTGTTCCATAAAGTCCAATGGTAGAGCGTGCCACTAGTTAAATTCCTATTATAAACGACACCAATCAAAGCACCAAATTGCTAAAGTTAAAGTTCTAAAGTTATACTAAATACTATCTATATTCAAGAGAAACACACAACCAATATCAGGCGTAAGTATGTACAGGAATATATCCAGGGCCTTCCTTCCTTCCTTCCTTCCATATGCATAACCATTCAAAAATATTTTAGCTGGGAAAAAGATCGATGATTGATATTAATTAGTTTGTAGATACACACATAAATATGTTAACCCCAAAATAAATTGAATCCTAATATATATGTATATGAAAACAACTTTCTTTTGATACTTTTAAATGTTTTACCCCACTGATATTAATTCTAATTGAAATTATTAAGTAATATTATTGAAGAGCTTCTTTATACTTTTAGTTTTACCACTTAATGGAAATTATTGAGTATAAAAGCTTTCTTTTGATACTTTTAAATGTTTTACCCCACTGATATTAATTCTAATGGAAATTATTGAGTAATATTATTTAAGAAAGCTTTCTTTTGATATTTTTGATTTTTAAAATTTTTGTAATATTATTGAAAAAAGCTTTCTTTTGATACTTTTAAATGTTTTACCCCACTGATATTAATTCTAATTGAAATTATTGCTTAATATTATTTAAGAAAGCTTTCTTTTGATATTTTTAAATTTTTTACCCCACTGATATTAATTATAATGGAAATTATTGAGTAATATTCATGAAAATTTAATCATTATTTAGCTTAAGTTCTCTTCATCTTTTTCTTTTATTGCAAATACTCATAAGTAAATAATTCTATGATTTTACACAAAAGTCTTCTATAAAATTTATTTTTTTTTTCTTATCGAAAAATTCGAGATTTATATAAATGGATTTTGTTTTTGTGCGGTTTTTATAAAATGAAAATTCGAGTGAAAATTTATTTAATTTGAAGTGTAATTTTAATTATAATTGTAAAATGATTTAGGGAGCCTTTTTTTTGTTGTGTGTATGTTGTTTTTGTTTTATATATTCGATACCAGCTCGAATTTGATCTAAATTCAATGCGTTACGATTTCAGTTTGTTGTTGTAATAGCAAATTAGTTCGAATATGGGATGGGGTCTTCTTGGGTATGGTGTGGGTGGCATGGCAAGAGATAGAATTCCTGTGTGAATGTCATGCCGAGGATGGCTCATCGGTGACCAGAGAGAGGCGACGCTTTACATCCTGCGTGGTATTGTACGCACCGCAGTGCACACACTTGAGTCCAATGAAATGGAATTTGGTTTTGCAAGTCTGCAAAATGTCGAAAATAAAAATGAAATAAATAAAATTAAATTAAATAAAAAAAATGTAATAAATAAATAAAAAAAAAAAATATTTCCATCATATAATTAAAGCAGAGAATCCAGAGCTCACCTTGTGACAATCATTGCAGAAGATATGCACTCGCTGATTCTCGTATTTGAGCGTTACGGGCATGCGCTGGGCCTGATCGTCCAGATACTCCCACAGCGCCGTCATATCGATCAGCGAGGTCTGGCAGGTGGGGCAGGTGTAATGGCCGGATGCCAGCAGCTGATCGAAGCACATCTTGTGCAGCAAATGGCCGCAGTCGGGAATGTGGCAAGGAATGCGCGACGTGTGTATGTCGCCCAAACAAACCGGACAATGCGACCGGGAGATGTTCTCCACGCACTGCAAACAACAATAACAATAACAACAATAACAACAACAACAACAAACACTCGATTAATTATAGATTCAAATCAGTGCTTGGCCAATTAATTAAGTGCACAATTTTTGACATTCATAACCACTCAACTAAATCGCCCAGCCAAGCCACAAAAAGCAATTAGGCAACCGGTTTCGTTTCGGCAATGAATTGACACAAAATTAATATTCAAAAGCTGGCGATTTCTTTGATCCGCTTTCAAATTGTGCAGAGGTCGTGTCCACACATATACATATCGTTGGAGTTGGAGTTGGAGTACTTTAAATTTTGTTTAGTGAACGTAGATCGTAGACTCACCCGATGGCCATCGATCTTCAGCTGAATGGGCAGACACATGTTGCAGACTTCGCAGTGAAAGAAATTGTCGGCGCCGCCAATGCGACAGATGCCACAGCCATGGCAATGATATTGCTGCTTATCCGCATCATCGAATAGATTGCATATGAGGCATGTATACTGCAAAGAGCAGTAGCATGATTAATCAAATGGATTATTTGTATGTAATATAATTATTACAGCTATTACTTACCTTGCCGAATCGCACGCCACAATTCTCGCATTGCTCGCGCACCGTCTGCCGCGTATTGCACTCGGAGCAGATGAGTTCTGTGAGTGTCTTCCGATCGAAATGATGCGTCTCGTTCTCATCGTGGCAGAAGCGGCACTTGTAGAACTTATTGCAGCACGGTGTCTAATGGGGAATGGAAAAATTAATTTCAGTTAAATATGCAAAATATTCCGCCTTGAGTTTCCATAATCAAGGACCCCACACACAAACATAATTCATTAGCAGTCGAACGCCGGCTGACACATCTTACCTACAAAATACTCGAAATTGAGTTGCTAATCAAAGAAATCTGCCTGGAAACGGAGCGCACACAAATCAATCGGTTGGATGACGTCTCAGGGCAGGGCAAATCAATTTTTGTTTGGCGTGAGATCTACTGGTTCTGCGCTTAGCATTATCATAAACATCATTGCACTGGCGGCCCCAGGCAAAAGACGACGACACCCCTTATGGAGCCCCTAATTAAATCACTTGTAAATATATACCCCAAAACCCATCTCCCCCACCACAAAAAAACTGCTGCCCGTGTCTTCGGTTCATTAGATGTTTGCTAATTGATTCACCCGACAAATTATCAACATTTGGTTATGATAAAGACCAAACGTATTTGTGTTTGATATGGATCAGGTTTTTATTTTGTCATGGAGTTAGAAATGGATTAAAGTTGCACTTAATTTAGGTTTTATCTTTTAGCTGTTATCTACCCCACGTATGTATCTGTCATGTAACTTACGAAACCCCCCAAGAATTCTTGCATTTGTTCTATTTATATACATACATACATATATATGAAAAGTGAGACCACAGTCAGTTGCAGGGCCACAGCTCTCGACTATCTTTGTGAATTATTTATAACTTTAACAACACTCTTTCGTATATACTCTCGTTTGCATATACTCGTATTCTTTCAACTTTGCTCTGATGATAACACTTGAAATCCAGAGAGAACGGTGTAGAAACATCTTTAAATCCGGTTTCTTTGTTGTACCCCGAAAAGAACGAGGAATTTTATGGCTCTATTCCACTAATGATGATCATATTATTTTTTCTTTCCAGAATTCATATTATTTTTGGGCCAAGAGAAGTTAAATACGTTCCATGACAAATTGATACAAGATCTCTGGGTACACTTTGCGAGTACGAGTATATGAATTGTATACGGCGTCTGTCTGTATTTGAGGGGGTAAGTAATTGCGGGCATTGCTCCACTTGTGTTCTTAACATTGAGCTTAAATCCACATGTACTTTATGCATAAATTAATTTCACGCATTGTGTTCAGCTTACAAAAATACACAAACACCCCCCCACTCCACCCTACCCGGGTGTAAATATAAAATACAACAACAAAAAACTCCCTCCACCTGATTCAACATTTCAGCAATGCAAATACTTTTATTCGTGCTGCCTGGCAAAACTTGTATTCTGTTCTGGAATATTACGACGAGCATTACGAGTGTTAGTTTGAATATTATTCCACTGGGGCTGTAATACGTGGACATACAAAAGCAAAACGAAAGTCCCTTCAAATTGTTAAATATTTAGGACAGATTTTGGGCGCAGTACGAGCAATACGTGACATTTATTTTTTGGAATGTGCCATAAAACTTGGTAGTAAAAATCTCTGTCGCATGTGGAACTTCCACAGGGAAATTCTTTATTTTAACGATTATAAATTCTTTACAATTTAAGGAATTTTGTATACACTTTTTCTGTATCCAAAGATCTCCAACCGCATTATCAGAGTCTTCCTAATTTTCACCTTTAGAAAACTTTTCCATTTCCTTTTCATTATTTTGGAAATTTTTCTTGGCCTGCTATTTCTACTTTCCCTTGCATTGAATCACTTTTTCTCCATCACCTGCATAAATATAATCGTATATCAACTTTACGATTATGTACATACGAGTATCGAGCCGCTACTTATCACCTCTCAATAATTATGTATGTCTCTGGTACCTCCTAATTGGCAGTGCAAAGACCTAAATATGGACGACAGAACGATTGCTTTATGTGCACTTCACATACACATTTGTTCGTTCATAATTATTTAAGCCCACCAGCAATATCGGAATAGCTACAAAAAGTAAAGAAGATATACACGCATTATTTGCCCAGATCAATGGAGAATGAAGGTGTTAAATGGGCGGCTGCTGCGCTCGCCTCAGCTTGCCGGCCGCCTGCCTGGCCTGCCCATTGGAGAAATACTTTTATTGTGAATCGGAGCAGACCAGACGGAGGTACGATCCGGTTTAATTTGCTGCCAGACCAGACTTTTCTCGTATTTGTACGGGTATTACTCGTACGAGTAGCATCTAAATACATCCGATATATGTATATCCGATGGACAGAGCTCGCCCCCCCCATGGCCTGTCCGCGCCATTTCCGTGCAAATAGCAATTCCATTCAATTGAAATTACATCAAATACTCTGAAGGTATCTGTTTAGACTTCAGCTACTTTATTTGTTTGCTTTGTTTAGAAACGTATAAATAAAGCTTTGAATACCATTTTTTGGGGAGCAAAATGTGCAGAAGAAACCACAGATGGCTTCTGGCGCCAACATTACTTTCCCCACCAAAAAAAGAGTGCGAAATTCTTCGACTTTTAAAAGGTTTAATGGGAATTCCTTGCCAGAATATATTTTGAAATGAATATTGAGGATTATTGAATTGCTGGCTAATGGGATAAGTTTATCCATCGATTTTTGTTTAAGGAATCCCAAAGCAAAACGAATTCCCCGAATGCTCCTACGATAAGCGGGGGGTTATTTTTATGCTTTGGTTTTATCAAAGGAGCCATCAAGTTCTTGTACAAATCGCATTGAATGACTAAGAGCACCCTTTGATAAAGAATTATTTCGAAATTGTTTAGTAATTTTTTTACTGTCGCCTTAGACCCGCATATTGAGTCAATTTATATTAATATGAAATGAATATTTCGTTATTAATACGAGTAGTGTGGGGAAATATTTATGGAGACATTACCACTGAGGCCTAAAGAATTTTCTACCCTTTTAGAAAAAAAATTATTCTTTCAATTAATAAAACAGAAGATGAGTGCCCCTCTATTTTAATGGAATATTTCCACCATAACTTGAGGAGTTTTCTTGAAGCAATTATTCTTACAGAGCTTCCCACATAGTTTCAACATTATTGAGTCAAGTCTTATTTATTCTCTCAGTTAATGGAACAAATAAAATGAGCAATCCAATACCTTACTCTCGGGCAATTCCACTACTTCCCTTAGCAACTATTTTTGATTTCTGATTTCTGTAGTTTTTTATGATTTACTTTCCCATATTGCCGTAGGACAGACGAGACTTACCACAAACATGGCCCGACGCTTATAGTGTGCACATCCAAAGCGCAATGACTCCGGTGTTGTTGGCGTTGCATTGCTGCACTTGTTGTTGTTGCAACTAGTAATATTGCTATCTTTATTGTTGCTGCTGCGTGCGCGGCGCGCGTTGCTGCTGCTGTTGCTGGTGGTGGTGAAGCGTGAAAATTGTTCATGTTGCTGTGATTCCATGCTGTCAACAGTTTTGCTAGCCTCTGTGCTGGTTTTTGGCTGGGAGTTGATGATGTGACGACGCCAAACAATGGCCGGCGGCTCCTCCTCGAGTAGGAGACTCGATGTGGATTTGGATTTTCGCATCTTTACGTATGTTGGAAAATCGCTCGTCATGATTGTAGGCGGCATAATCAGCTGTAGACGTTGCTCTTGTTGTGCTGCTGTTGCTGTTGCTGTTACTGCTGCTATCTTGGAAACAGAAACAACCAGAGACGTAGCCGTAGCCGTAGCCTCATCAGCAGCAGTAGCAGCCTCCAGTGAGGTCGCCGCAGCCGCCGCCGCTCCAGCCGCTGCCGCTCTCGTCGACGACAGCTTTGACGATGAATTTAAATTGACTTGATTGGGTTCTTTTGTATTGGTAGATATTTGTACATCAATGTGCTGTTGCTGTTGCTGATGCTGATGCTGTTGGTGATGGTGGTGGTTGTGGTTGTACTTGTTGTGGCATTCATTCAGAGATATTCGGCGCTGCCTCTGACGATTCTTCATTCTGTTGCAGGAGCACCAAATCGAAATCGAAATCTACAGATACTTATATACAATATATATTTTGATGTATATATGTATGTATGTATATGCTGTATGTCTCTTCCAGCCTTTTTTTGCGTTTTCTTACAAGTCTGCTGATCGTTGGTTGCAGTTGTCTTTGTTAATTGTTGGGTTGCCTCTTCAATTGCTGCTGCCGCGTAGCATTTAAATTATTTTCCGTTGTGACATAGACTTTGTATCCGCCTCATCGATGGCCGGCCGCAACCTCAGTGAATGAAGACTCCAATTCTCTCTGTCTGTCCTGTCACTCTCCTCTCTCTCTCTCTCTCTCTCTCTGTCTCTGTGTGTGTGTGCTTTCCACTTTCATTTATGCAACAGCTCCAGTCCGCTCATCCTTAGCTATGCACAGCGCGTCGTCGTTGTCCAAATTTTTTTGCAGCTCTTTCATCTATTTTCAGGTGTGATTGAGAAAGCCGCCACGGACGAGATTAAATGGTGTGTATGAATGTGTGCCTGGTTATTTAACCCCAACTCAAACACATTGTTTAAGCACAGTTTAAGCACATTAAGCTAGCAAAAATACAAATAAAAAAATACATGTGAATATATCAATCGGTGAATCCCCCGCGCGACAACTTTAATGTTTAACTAAATAAACGTAAAATCCTAAAAAAAATGGGTAAAAAAAAGCAATAAATCTAACTTTTAATTTTTCCCGCCGCCGCCGCCGCCACAGCATTTGCATGGGAAAGGCCATCAAAAATTAGATAAGAATTATCTTGATTTTAGACGCTTTTCTTTGGCCTCTTAGTGTAGTATATGTAAATGGGCTACGGCGGGGACCCTGAGCCCTGAGCCCATGTGAGCTCTCGGCGGGGTGGGGGTGGGGGCGATTTAAATGTCTAAGCTAAATGATTTTTTTAGTTATTATTTTTCGCATTGCCTTGACACCTCCAAGCTGCGCATGGAGTGCGGGGAAACGATCCCCAAACACTTGTTAACATAAACCGGCGCACGACTCGACTCTGCAAAAAAAAACTTTCGCTCTGCTAATATTATGCTACGGCTTGCTGAGTGGAGAAGAAAGAGGCATAGCCAGCATCGCCATCACCAGATGAGGAGCTTTTAGTTGTTGGTAGCCAGCCCCCTCTCGTATCTCTGTGTATATTTTACTCTCTGCATCTGTGTCTCTGGCTCTCTGTCGCTGGCTCTGTTGTCATTATCGTATTGTGGTTGTTCCTATTTGCATAGCCGCTGAGAGCAGCGTTGTTGAATCTTCTGTTTATTCAGTTTGTTTTTCGCAATTATCAAAAAGGGGAGCACAACCCCGGACCGCACACCGTCCCAAGCGACGCGACAAATAAATATTGAAAGTGTGCGAAAATATTACACACGTAAACCAGTCCCAGTCCGCGCCCGCGGCCAAAGAATACCAAAAAAAACGCAAAAACGAAAATGAAACTCTAAACTTGATTTCGATTTTTTTTTTTCATTTATAAAAATAAAAAATCATTTCATGGTTTACGCACGCACACGCACTCGCTCGCTCATTGACACACACACAAATTGCTGCAGTCGTCGATCAAACAACTAAGCAAGACAAACGCATTAAATAAATGGTCACGATCCCAATGTAATCGCTTAACTCAAACTTTTCCAATCCACAACCAATCCAAACCGCCTTCAACATGAAGTTTTGGCCAGCACATGCAAGTGGTGTGGGGCGGTGCGTGCGGGGGGGAATTGCGTGCATTATATACATATACATATTGGTGTTTTTGTTATTTTTTTTATTTTGGTAGTTTTTTTTTTTGTTTTTGTTTTGGATTAAATCGTTTTCTTGTCTAACGTGTTTTTGTTTAGGACTTTAAATTGATTTTTGTTTGATTTTGAATTCGCATTCAGCGAACCTCTTCGCTTAAGCGCTTATTGTGATTTTCGTCTGAAATTCAGCCTTTAATTATAATTTAGCTGATTCGTTAATTATAATTTATTAGCAATAAGAGAGATACTTGAAATTGTGACAACAACAAAAACACACACCACACACTGAACCGCAGATCGTAGCCAGGCAGCCAGGCAGCAAGGCAGCAAGGCAGCCAGGCAGCTCTCGGAGCTCGTCAATTGTATATTGAATAGCCACGGAGACGACACGGCGACACGGCAGTCAATACGTGATACGTGAGATCCGCGTTCAACGACACACCCGCAGATCCGCTTTGAGCGCGGCGAGCTTCGATTCTCAACTGAGTGCTGCTGCGGAGGGGCCGCGCCAAACACTTGTTGCTGCTCGCGGCGGCACACAGTGGTCGATTCTGCCAATCTGGCAGGCAATAATTAATAACTCAAAAAATAATTGAGTAATATTTTTTAAATTATTTTTATATTTAAGAATATTAGCCAACGCAATTTTAAAAACAATTTTTAATTTTTTTATTAATTTTTGAAAAATTAAAAAATAATTATTTACAAAAAATTATATATTTTTTAAATTAAAATGTTTCATAATGTTTTCCTTAATTATTTATATTAATGCAAAATAAAAGGATATACAACTTTTAAAAGAAAAATAAATAAAAATGACGTACGTTATCTGCTTCAGTTTTTGTGTTCTTTTTTGCAGGGTTTTCCGAATCTAGTATTGATAAAACCTGAGAAGCATTTCTTTTGCCAGCACTGTATAAACTAACTCGAGTAGCTACTACCAATTCTTCGCAGGGAGTTTTGTTAACGATATCACTAACCCTTTGAATTTGTCGATTTTCTGTGCAGTCAGAAAATGGTTTTGCTGGGCGCCCAGAACTAATTGCAGCTGTTGCAGTAAATATAATTTTTTCGTTCTACCATTTTTCCGTTGTGTTTTTGAAAATATTGTAAACATCTGTGGCACTCTCTCCAGCTTTCGGCAACCTCCAAAAATTAAAAAAAATTTTCATTTATTGCCTGCCAGATTGGCAGAATCGACCACTGTGCGGCAGCGTAAAAGCTTTCTCTCGCTTTGTTTGTGCTTAAAGCTGCATGCATGCCAGCTTTCATAGGCGGGAGGAAAAGATCGTTGAAGGATTAAACTGCGCGCGCTATATATTGATTCCATATATGTATACTATAATTGTGAGCCTCTGTGTGTGAGCGTACAGGTTGAGTCTAAATCACAGCTTAATTGCTTAGGCATTGACTAATCGTAGGTTGCATTAATTTGTATGTCTTATATTCTAGACCTTCTCAATCTGCACGAATCTCTCGCGCTTATACTGATCGCAGTAGCTGCCCACAAAGTTGAGGCGACCCTCGTACTTGAGATGCATTATCGTTTTGACCATGGGCGGATGCTCGTTGCCCAGCTCCAGCCACAGCTTGCCACCGGAATGCAGGTGACGGCAGGCCAGATCAAAGACCACGCGTGCCACTCTCAAGCCATCCGAGCCGCCATCCAAGGCATTCAGATTCTCATACCTAACCAAAGAGAGAAATGAAATCCATAGCATTTACAGAGATTCTGCATTGAGCTGCGACGACTTTGCACTCACACCACCACTTCGGGATGCAGGAACTGAAACTCGTCCGTCTTCACGTAGGGCGGATTTGATATGATCAAATCGTACTTCTTTTCCTTGAGCGGCTCTGGCATGTATTGGTCCGCCACCATGGTGTGATTGTGCACCTGGAAACGATGCTGCAGACCCAATAGCTTGGCATTTTCCACAGCCAGAACCGTGGCCGCCTTACTCCGCTCAATGGCCGTCGCCTCCACCTGGGGCAGTGCGTGCAGCATCGATAGGGACATGGCGCCCGATCCACAGCCCACTTCCAGCATATTTACATGCTTCGCATGCTTATAGCTCTCGATGACCAGACGCACAAACTCCTCCGTCTCGGGCCGTGGAATGAACACAGTGGGCGCTGTCTTTAGGGTAATGTCCAAGAAATCCCATTCGCCGATGATGTGCTGCAGCGGCATGCGGGCACAGCGTGCCTCCAGGAAGCGCTCAAAGTCCGCCAGTTGTTGGGCATCGAACTGCAGCTGGGCAAAGTTGTCGGGCACGGTGTTCTGTTGTTTGGCAGGGGGGCGGGGAGGGCATAAGTGAGGTTAGTTGTGTGTGTTTCGAATGCCGTTTACTGACTGATACTTTACAAATTTACGCTTCAGCACATGCGACACAATGCATTTCACATTGAATTCGGTATCTGGAACGCCGGCGTCCTGTAGCTTCTGCAGCCAACCCTCCGTGGCCTTCGTTACGGCAACAAATTGGTCACCAGTGGAATTTGTAGCACTTCCGCTGCTACTGCTACTGCCACTGCCACTGCCACTGCTGCTGCTGCTGCTGCTGGTGGCATAATTATAATGCGTGAGTGCGCGCGAGGTCAGGCCGCGCACGGACCGTGTCAAGTTTTTAAACATAATTTAGGGCTTATTATCTAATTTTTTTTTTTATCAACAAAAATGTTGACACCCGCCACTGCAGGTCTTTTTAATTTGAACATTAACCAACACTGCTTCTTATCGATTTCTTGCCAATCGCTTGACAATCAGCTCTAAGTGTGACCGTATTGTGAAAAGCGGAAACAATTTGAAAATGGGGTAAACTGGCAGTTAATTTATTGTTTCTTTTTATAAAAAAAATCAAAACCCACCAGCTCTTATTTATAATACAATTTGTAAGTTTTTTTATAATTTGTCATACAAGAATGGCCTTTGAAATTCTTGCAATTCTTTTTTTGTTCTTTGTAATTCCTGGCACGCTTCAAAATTGTCTGCCATGTCTGATAATAATGTTATCAAGTGCAAAATTTATTTACTCTCTGATCAAATAAACCATTTAACAGCCTTGTAAATAGCGCAAGACACTTGTGCATACACATGGGCCTGGGCCTGGGCTTGGGTCTAGGAGTGCATTTCCGCTACGTTCCGCTCTAACTATCTTGATTGATTTCCAGAGAATTGTAGAAAGAAAAACCTTTGCCATACTTATCAGTTTTTATTTATATTTTACAACATATTAAAATATTCATACCATTTTATGTGTATTGTATATATTCACATTACGATTGCACAATTTTATACCGAAAAAACGAAACAAAAAAAAACAACAGAAAGAAAATTAAGCAACAAATTTTTTACAAGTTTTCCTTTAAGTACTGAAAATTTAATGGAATTTCCGTTGATGATGGAACGAACGAGCGAGCGAACACATTCAACATTCATGTTGAAATAAACGCACACAAACAAACAAACACACACAAAAAAGAACGATAAACAATCATCCTCAGTCTATATTGGCGATGTCAGTCAGAGGTGGCCGTGCAGTGGATCGCGTGTGTCCCTCAGATAAACGGGACTGGTGAACGATTTGCCCTCGACCTGCGAGGCGAGATTCTCACCGGCATATGTGACGAACGGTGAGATCTCACAGATGTCACCGTGCACAATGCCGCCGGCGGTTTCAATGTACTTCTTGTGCAGGCGATGCAGGTCCGTTCGGGCGGTGCTGGGGCAGTCCTTGCCGGCCACATCGGCATTCTTCAGAGCGCTAAACTCCTCGTCACGCGGCACCTCCATGGCCACAAACTTTTGCGCAAATTCGAACACATCGAACACAAACTTCTCGATCTTGATGCCATTGGGCTTGTCGGGGGTCAGCCGCTTGCCGGCATTGTCCACGAACGGGATCTTCTTCTTGGCCACGTGCAGCTTCAGCTCCTGCTCGAACTTATTGCCGATATCCTGCAGGAAACTGGCGCTGAAGAAGTGATTGCAAATGTTGCCCGCACTGAAGGTCAGCCGACCGTCCGAATTGCGCATCTCTGCTGTCTTGGCGGAGATCTCACTGTACTCGACCACCTGGTATTTGCCATCGACAATGGCCACCACGCCCACGGGCTCATTGGGGGCGGCCTTCTCCACCACCTTGGCCGCACAGTCGGCCTTCTCCTGCACACAGTAGCCAATGAAGACGGGATCGGCCACCTTGATCAGTATATTGTCCACACTGTGGGCATGCAAATAGAGCAGGCCGCGCTTTTGCATATCCTCCAGTATGCCCTGTCGCTTCATCGCCCTGTATATGCCACCATTGCCATCGGGGGCGCGCGCCACGCGATGCTTCTCGTCCAGAATGATGCGTCCATCGTATTCGAAGCATGGCAGTGAGCCCTGCTCGAAGAGCAGCACATCCTCCGGCCTCAGGCCAAAGAAGTTATTCGCCACAAAGTAGTCGTATGTCGGCTGCACTGTGTGCTCCGACGTCATGATATACCAGGTGATGCGGCCGCGCTTTCCGTTCGCCTCCTGGGCCAGCTCCTCCAGCTTCAGTATGCGTTCGGCCTGAATGCGGAACAGAGACTTTCGCGACTGTAGTCCCACATCGTACATGCCCTTGGGATGATCGAAGCCAAGTCGTGTGCCTGCAAAGAGTAACGGAGCGCGCGGGGGCGCGAGTATTAGCAAAGGGAAACTCTGCATAAACGAGGAAAAGTGTCTGCCATTAATCATCCGCTAACAAGAAGTGCAACCTATTCGATTTCCTACCCTGTTGGCCTTAAAAAACATGTTACTTTTATTTTATTTTATTGTATTTTATTTTTGGGCTTTATGCTTTGTCTATTGTCCCACACTTGTCTACCCATTTTTAACATTTAAGCGGCAAAGCCCAGAAGGTCAGCAGCCGCACTACCGGTTTTTAATTATCAGTTGATCTGTTGGCTTGATATATGCAATTTATCGGTTGGCGAACCACCAAATAGCCGCTGCTGCCAGCCATGTAGAGTCCATGGAGCTACGGGGGAATATGGCATCGGCATCGGCATCATTATTTATTTCTACTCGTACGCCTAGTACCGTTTGAGCGTTGGGCTACGTGCATTAAATACTACGACGAGGCATAGGCCCACACTACTATAAGGGTACAATGGCCCCCGGCCCTGCCTCCAACCCGACGTTCTTTTTTATCTCTGTTTCGTTTGATTTCTTTCAAGTCAATTACGTGATTCGACTGCACCTCTCTGCTGGTTCGCGCTCACATTAAAAACGGGAAAGGAAATGTCAAATGCCGCCAACATTTCAATATGGCGCTTGAATGGAACAGCAGTGCCAGGCGCAGACCGAACAAAATAAAACGAATAAGAACGATATGGAGCGGGTCAAGACTTGAGGCATACTCTGTGCTGAAGATTCCGCAGTTGTTTGAGTGAGTGAACATTGGATATTAATGGAGAACCAAACACGCAAAGAGCGTTCTTCAAAGCAGAGTAAATAAATGCCAAATGGATTGCATTGTTAAGCCTATTCTGCCACAGCCATTCTCTATAGCAGCTATTGCAGCTATGGCTGGTTCTTCTTACTATTTTATATACCCTTCTCCTCTAAGGTACGACCAGCGTTGTGCTGCATACAAAATACATATATTAAAAAAAAACACACAAAAAAAAGAAAGGCAGTGACTGGCCATAAGAATGGCTTACATTTTGCTGCAGCTTGAGCGCGCGTGTTGGTTTGTTGTCTTGTCTCTTGCACATGGAATTACAATTGCAGCAACAAACAATCAGGCAGCTGCTTGAGTGGGCAGCTGATTGAGATTGAAACGGCACGGAGTGCGTCCCCCCGGCTGTGTGGCTCCGGGGGCTTTTGATATCAAGTTAATTAGTTTTTTTTTGCACACCAACACACACAGAGACAAGCAGCGGTCTGCGCTAATGTTGGAACTTGTTGCTCTTTGCTCTGTATTTGAGTTTACATTTTGTTTATTGCACATCAAGGCAGAAATGTGAGTGGTGTGTGGAGTTGTGTCTGTGTGTGGGTGTGTGGGTGGTTGGGGGGGGTCTGCTCCGTTTGATATCAGATGGAAACAAATAGAAACAGAAAAAAATACGAGAGACATCACAAATATAACAACACAACTCTGCAGAGCGAATTTCTCTACAAATGCAGAAAAACAAATGCATTAGTCATCAGCTGCGCTGCTGCCCTTGAGACGCAGAGATAGTTTTAGGAGTTTATGCGGGGCATTTCAAACGAAATTATTAAGCTTGGGAATGTCTCCTCCTATTTCTGTAAAATTTAATTTTATTTTTATTTATTTCTCCTATTTCTGTAATATTATTATTTTTATTTATTTCTCCTATTTCTGTAAAATTTAATTTTAATTTTATTTATTTCTCCTATTTCTGTAAAATTTAATTTTATATTTTATTTATTTCTCCTATTTCTGTAAAATTTAATTTTAATTTTATTTATTCCTATTTTTTAATTTTTGCATACATTCTATTTAATTTTTTCCCCTAAAATCCCATCTAATATCATATTTTACATCTCATTTAGTTTTAAAATTTATTGGAAAAATATCAGCAGATCTTTTCATTGGAACTTAATCATTCTTTGATTATTTTCTTTTGATTTATATATGTACATAAATGTATATATATATATACATATGTATAATGTATAATACACTCAGCAGATAATCTGTATAATCGACAAAGCCCAAACGACTGCTACAAATATCAGAATTAATGCTTCAGTTATAGTTCCCAAGCCAAGAGCAAAACCCAAACCACCTTTGGCTAATCATTTGTGCTAATTAAACACAAGTGTTTTTTTGTGTTTCGTGTGTGTGTTTTTTGTTTTCATCTGTTTGGCTTTTCGCTCCCCTTTGATAGGCTCCCTTTGGGTATTGTTGCATGACCTTCAACACTTACCTTGTCCGCCCGCCATAAGCAGCACAGCGACATGTCCGTTGCTGATCTGACGCAATCCCTCGTCCCGATACGAGTGCAGCTGCTCCTGGGGTGTGCGCGCAATGGATAGCACCTTGCCATCGGGTATGGGCTGCAGTCGATCGTCCAGCTTGATGCCGTTCTCATTCATGGAGACGGTGGCCCGATCGAAATACTTTTTGATCTCATCCAGATTCAGTTCCTCGATGTCACGCACCAGATCGGCGCGCTCGTCAGCTGTTAGCTCGGGCCAGAACTTCAGCAGATGCTCCTGATGCACCTGGGCGAGTCGCGTCTGCAGCGACAGGTAATCCGTCATGTCCGTTGTTGTGGCTATTACTACTGGTGTGGCGTTTTTTGTGGTGGCACCAACGCTGGCTGCAGAGTGGTGAAACAGGGGGCGCAATTAGTGGTTGTTGATTTAGCTAATGGAGTAGTGGAAAAAGTAGGCTGGAAATTCATGTACTTTTCTGTCCAACTGTCTCTCTCCCTATGCCCCGTGAGTTCCGTGAGTGAGTGGAGTGATAATATGACGAGGCTGCGATAAAACAGATAGCAGAGACAGAGACAGAGCCGGAGCCAGTGACAACGTTTCGTTACAAACTGTTTACGGGTTTTTTTTTCGTATTTTTTTATTTATTTGGAGCTTTGGAGCGCCTTCGCGAACCGTTATACGTGGTAGCCAAAGCGCAACTGAGAGCCAAGCGATCGCCCTCAGTGGTTTTTCTTGCTCAAAAGTGGAGCTGCCCCACCACCACCACTGCCACTGCCTCGGCCGCCTCCGTCTTTGTCTCTCTCTCTGCCATTGTCGCTGGCAGCTTTGACTGGCAGGCGCGCATGTGTCTTGCTTTTGGTTTTGGTTTTGGTTTTGCTTTTGGTTGGAATGTGCGCCAGTGTTTGTGTGCCTCTGTTTTGACGTATTTGCAGGCGCATATTAACATGGCTATGATTATGGCTAGGCCAGTTGTTGTTGGTGCTGCTACCCTGTGAGAGCCAGGGACTGCATTTGATGCAGAATCAGAGACAATATTTAAGGAATATTTCTACAATTAAGTCTTCCTCTAGGGCATGACACAAGTCCATCAAGCCGACAGACAGCGATATGCTTTTTGGGCTGCAATCGACTGGGCTGGGACTACCTCCAGCGGTGGGAGGGAGCGGTGGTCGGGTGTTGCGAATGCAAAAACCAAACGGCCCTGAACGGCACACAGCAGTGTGGCTCAAGTGAAAGTAAGAGCTGGGCCCCCTGGGGGCTCTGGACAACAAGGAAACAACACACCTTAAGGGCAGTTCCTGATAAACTAGTTTATCCCACACTATCCCACTACCGAAACTAGTTGTATGGGTTTGGGCCTCAAGTTATTGGAAAGGTTATGGATATGGCATTTAAAAATTAAGCCAAGAATTGGCTACAAAAATTGATATGCGATCTGGTGGTGGTTTCTAGGCCGGTTTGTTTGGTTTTTGTTTTTGCCACGAAGCCAAAGAGGCCTAAGCTGGATCGTGGATCCAAGTCATATTAAAGAGAAGGTAAGACAGCGCTCGAACTGCCCCTGCCTGACCCTGCATGTAATATACTATGATGGGGGGCGCTGCTGAAATACACACGTAGCCATAAAAAACGGCAAAACCCCCCTCCAGCACACACACACACACACGCACACAGTCTCAGCCAAAAACGGAAAGAAACGACGATAACACACAATTTGTTTTCCGCTTGCTGCGGACCGGACTCTTATCGCGGAACGTTGGGCCCTGCCCGCCTTCGTTTTATCATTATCAATATAATATTATACTCTTTTTTCTTTTCTTTTGTTTTTGCTACTCACCATTGCGATGGCGCCGCACATTTGTGTGCTGGTGCTGCAGCAAATTGTAATTGTGGCGACCCATTTATGTGTGGGCTGTGGGGGCCACCTGACACACACCCTAATATTATGATTGGAGGCGCTTGCACTTGCACTGCCCTATGCCAATTGCCGATTCCCTTGCTTTTTCCACTGGGTTTTCACTGTGCCATCGTTGTGTGGGCCATGCCATTTACTACTTGTACGCAAGTTGACTAATTTAAAACCCAATGTGTCCACCAGGCACGCCACTCGAAATAAATTAACTTAAATACAAAAAATCCAATAAATACAATACGACTAGAGGTGTCAAACCATCGAGGGCACTATCGATAGTATCGATATTTTACTGCTAGTCTCTACTATCGACGGTTTTGCGACTATCATGATAGTATCGAGCTACAGTCGTTGCGCTCTTGATATGTTTGGATTGGCTGCTATAAAATACGAAGACAAATTTGTAAAAAAATTCGACAGGTGGCATCTAATTATTACAATGGACAAGTTCCTAAAAGGTTTCAATGGTTTTTTAATAATTATTTCAGCCCGATACTATCACGATAGTATCGATTGTTTTTTCAAAACATTCGACGTTGATATTCCTCGATATTGATATTCCGTTTAATATTACCATATTCTCCACGAATTGAGAGCAAATTTTGCAATCTCTCCACGAATTGAGAGCGAAAAATGTCAGTATTTTTGATGCGCTAAATTGAGTTTGGCGGTCAATTTGAAATGTGTCTTAATATTTGGAAAAAAAACTTGATTTGTTTTGTCGAGTGACCTCAGAAACCGAGAACCAGTAACCAGTAACCAGTAACAAAAAAAAAAAGTTTTTGTGCACAAAAAATAAATTAAGCTGATCTGACCTCTGGGCTTATCCCCATTAACCCCACGCGCCATTTAAACAGGTGAACAAATTGAGTTAAGCCGCAGAAAATAGAAATGTTTGTAAATGTTTCTTATAGCTCCCATTCTTCCGCATCGAAAATTCGCCTGAACTGCTTTAAGTTTTGATTATAAAATATTTAAAAATGCAATTTAAAATTTAGCTTGAATAGAAGAAACTCTAATTGGTTTTTTTTTTTTGGCTCTTTCTTTTTTGTTTTGTTTAAATATATTTACAATTATGAACTAAATAAAGCATCGATTTCAATTACATGTAAGGACTACAACAGAAAGTATGCATCTATGTATAGGCTTTAGTTATGCTCAAAGGTTTGCCTGGAAGGTTTCTCTCTCTCTCTTTTTGTCCCATATTTCACGGTTTCTTAGGAGCACGGACCGCGGTGTGTGGCGTAGCAAGCAAGCGTCTAATCTAAGGGACTCTACAGACTTACGAACGGTAATTACAAGAGTGTGTGGCAGGGGCAGGGCCAGGAAGTAGGTAGTAAGAAGAGATAGTAGGTGAGATACGTACTTGATGCAAAATCATACAAAACATGGGCGTAAATCATTAATTAGATCATTCTTTTAAATATCAAAAAATTCATTTATGTTCAAAACGAAGAAACACTTGTCTAAGCCGATGATGACGTTGTCGGCACGTCATCCAAATTGATTAGCGTAGCGGCTACACCAGCTGCTGTGGGCTCCTCTACTCCAGCCACGGCAGCAGCAGCAGCAGCGTTGCCATCTTTGGTTGGCGGCGCCGGCATTGGTATTGCAATGGTACTCATGGTGCTTATCATACGCGGCTCGGCCCGCGACGTTGTGATGGGCAGCTGAGTGGAAGTGCTGCTGGGCTTCAGGAAATCGGGCTGCGGTGTCTGTGCCGGCCCAGGACCATGACTATGACTATGACTGTGTCCAGCCCCATGACTGTGTGTGTGTCCAGCTCCATGGCTGTGAGTGTGATGCTTCTGCTGCTGCTGCTGCTGCTGATGATGATGAGACTGATGCTGGTGCTGATGATGGTGATGCTGCTGCAGCTGCGGCTGCTGGGGATACGACTTGGGCAGCTGGGCGTGCCGCGTGGAATCGGTGGCCTTCAAGCGCTCACTCAACGCCTTCAAAGCAATTTGACTGCAATATTGGAACAATATTTAGCAAAAAAACAAAATAAATAAAAACATTTCGTTCGAGCTATCGAACGCATCGCTTACCGCCTGCGCTCAATATCATGCGGATCCGCACCGGGCATTTGCACTGAGATCGACGTCAGACTGGCCGTTGATATCGTGCGCAATGGCGTGGGCGTTTTGACCACGCCCGCCCGCAAACAGCAGTTGTAAATGGGATTAACCAAAACGCTGATAAACGGCTGCGAAACATTCGGAAAGAAGCTAACAAATGTGAAGCTCTCCGAGCTGTCGCCACGCCCATTCGGATGATGCTGATAAAAACGCAAGTAGATCCAGGAGACCAGAGAGCCGGAGGCAAACATGGCCGGATATGTGCCATCCAGCAGGCCAATAGCCCATGAAATAATTGCCATTATGAGCACGGTGAGGGGTACGTTCCTTTGGGGCAAGTGAAGAGGCAGAATCAGCACTCAATCATGTCATATGACGGGATTACTCACCTATTGGTCAGACGTCCGTAGCGGGTCTTGAAGATCAAATGATCGGGCATTATTTGCCGCACGGCCACACAAATGCCAGCCACATAGCCGGCCAGGCCATGGATGTGCACATCGAATAGAATGGTTGGATTCTTGGTCACCATGTAGTAGAATAAATAGTAGATGGTCGTCAGCAGCGAGACGCCAAAATTGCTCAGCGCAAAGAACTTGAACATCTCCAGCTGGCCCCAGAGCGGCTCGAGCATCTTGCCACACAGCCCAACAGTGACGACATCAACGGCCACCTCCCACCAGTGCAGCTCGATGAAACAGAATGTGAATGCAGTCCATATCCAGAATTTTCCATTCGGCAATATGTAGCCGGGTGTGACGCTCAATAGGAGGATGGCCTGCTCCGAGAAGGAGAGCAGGTAGCCGAATGTGGTGACCACACAGATTAGCGTTATCACCGGCGAGGTGTTGTGCAGCAGGGCGTTCAGCTGTTGCCATATATAGGGCCAGTTTCGTGCGAGTGGAGCTGACATGGCAACTCGAAACTACTACTGCTGTCGCTGTGAGAGTCTGATGATTTTTCTGCCTGGTGTATTTCAATTGTTGTCCGTCCGATCTGTTGTTATTTAGCCTGCTGCATGCGAGTCCCCCGATGCTGTGCCGTATGTTAAATGCGTTATGCGTTTGTTATCGTGTGCGTCGCAAGTCCGGACGTTCCGCTGGCCTTCAATTTGCACAAAGTTTTGTTTTATTTACGATTTGGTTTCACTTTATTTCTCATTTTGTTGCACCAGTGTGACCAGTCGCTAAACTACACAGAATACCCGCCAGTCGTGTAAAATGCAGCTAGATTGGCTTGAAAATAGCTATGAAGAAATGGCTAAAAATAAATTAATGATACATTTTTATCCTTATGCTCGGGTATACTACACAAAGATACTAGGGGGTATATTAAATTTGATTAGATTGTGTGTTAGAGGCAGAAGGCAGCCTTTTCGATCCCATAAAACATTTATACACAGATATATGGCAGGAAAAAAAAAGCTGATTTGGCAATACGTCAGCAGTTAAATAGTCACTGATATGTATGTCGATAGCCATATCGATAAGCCACTTGGGCGCGCACTTTTTTCCTTTTTGAACTTAATTTCATACAATTCGCAAATTAATTTAAAAAAGAGAAGAGACCTTTTCAATTAAAAAAGTTATCTAATTTACGTTTTATTATGACAATTTGTATGCGTGTGTTCGTTTGATGTACAACTTCGTTTTAATAATTTCAATATTCCCCCTCTTGTCTGGCTTTTAAATATAGTATTTCATTTGATTTAATATTTAAACAATTATTGCATTGACATTCAATCAATTCGCAGAAATATTGAACTCAAGCAATGTAGTCTCACAATTGAATACAACTAAAAACTATACAAAATAAAGTTTCTCTCGTTCATTATGTACGGTACGCTTCGTGGGTAGCAGGGGAACCGCCTTAAAAGTATGCTGATAGTGGGAATTCGGACGTAAAAAAAAAACAAACAAACACAAAAAAAAACAATATACGGAATTTAGATTGTTTTTTTTAGTTTGTTTTGTTTTAATGGGCGAACGAGCGAGCGAGCGTGTGAGAAATATGATGAAGTATTGGTGTTGATTGATTGCATTCCGGAATGACACTGCTTAGAACAGCAGCGTGCCCATGCCGCCCATTTCAGATTGTTCCTTGACGAAAATCTCAAAGTACTGGTAAATGATGGTCACAGCCAGCAGGATACCCGTGCCGGAGCCGATGGCGCCAAGGAAATCGGCCATCACCGACAATGCACCGATGCAGAGACCACCGAAAGCCGCTGCCGTCGGTATGTAGCGATTCAGCTCGTGGATCATGGAGTTCTCGCGATGGCCGCGCATCACCATGTGCTGCTCCTTCAGCTGCTTGGCAACCTGCAGAAAGCAACAAAATCCAAGTTAGTTTTTTCACCTTGATATTACGTTTACCGAAGCTTTAAGCTACTTACATCCTTGGCTGAGCTGCCGGACACATCGATCCAGGTCTTGGAGAAGAACGCACAGGAGCCCAACATGAAGACAATGTAGAGCAGGGCGTGAATGGGGTCAGTGAGTATGTGGCCGACGCTTTCGGGCGGCGACAGATAGTAGCACAGACCACCGATCGGGTAGGAGCGGGCTGGGCCGCCGCCACCAACATCGGCCCACACGCCGAGCAGATTGATGAAGAAGTTGCCATTGAACTTGACGGCCAACATCTGGGAAATCACGTACAAGTTGGAGACGAGAGCCGACTGCAGAATGATGGGAATGTTGGAGGTGTAGAACAGCTTGATGGGATAGCTGCTGTACTGGCCGCGGTAGCGGGCACTCTTGATGGGTAGATCCACGCGGAAGCCTTGGAAGTAGATGACGACAGCGAACACCAGAATGGTGGCCAGCAGGTTCATCAGATTGGGCAGGTTCTGGCGGTAGAAGGCCTCGCGCAGAGCACGAACCTTATCGTTCCTGGTGGCCATCAGGTGGAACAGGGCAATCACAGCGCCCTCGAACTCGGTGCCACGTCCCGTCGTCACCGTGGTGGGGGAGAATGCCTTCCACACGATCGTCTCGCAAATGTTGGTGGCAATGAAAAGGGAAATACCCGATCCCAGGCCATAGCCCTTCTGCAGCAGCTCGTCGAGCAGCAGCACAATCAGACCGGCGGCAAACAGCTGAATGATGATGAGCAGACAAACGCCGGCTCCAATTTCCGCTGGATCACCGTACATGCCAGTCATCACATAGACGATGGCCTGGCCAATGGTGATAACCATGCCGAACAGCTTCTGGGCTCCGTTGAATAGGGCGCGATCCTTGGGCGTGTCACCGACCTCAATGATCTTCGCTCCGGCCAGCAGCTGCATGATCAGGCCCGAGGTGACAATGGGCGAGATACCCAGCTCCATGAGGGTACCACGGTTGGAGGCCAGGATGACACGAATCCAGTAGAAGGGATCCGCCGAGTCGGAGCTCATGATGCCGAACAGTGGGATCTGGCAGCACACCAGGAAAATGAACAGTGTGATGGCGGTCCATAGTACTTTTTCTCTGAATTGGATCTGGGGGGAAATTAAACAAGGAGATTAGCCTTATACATACATACATGCATACATATTAATTATTAATTAATTATAAACCCTTTCATTAATTAGCCTTGAACCTAAACTAGGCGTGCAAGTGCCGCTATGTTGACCCACATGTGCTCTGTGGGCGTGTGTGTACGTGGGGGAAATGTTTAAACAAAATCTGGTTTGCTCATCGGCATTGTCATCGTCATCGTCGTGTCTGCCCCCCCTCCCCATCATATGGTTAACAACAAAAATAACCCACGAGGCTGACGTCGACAGTGGTTCGGCTCACAGCTTCGGGCGAATGCGACCGACCCGAAGTTTGACGTTTCCACGTCGCGTTTGTGTACGCGAGTGTTGTGTGTGTGTGTGTGTGTGTATGTAAAAGGTACTCTGGCAACAAGTAGCACGCAAAAGTAGTGGGGCTGTGATAAGAAAAGTAGCAGATTCGATGAGGTGGAAATCTGACGATTCGTCAATGAAAATATTTGGCAAAGGTAAAATAATATAACGCAATATATTTAGCACAAACTCTTTTTGGTAGGTAACTGAAAATAACCACTTTTTAGCCGATTCTTAGACACGTTAAGCTCAAATTTATGACACAAATTAACTTCTCAATAAAGCTTTTGAACGCGAACTCTTTTCAAGCATTTTATTTGCCTTTACCCATCTTTTTCACTCATCACTTTATGCACAAGCAAACTGTTTGCGTGGCGCTTTGCTTACATTTTTTTTTTTGACAAGTGAAAGCCAAACGAGTGCGCTGGCAACACTGGCAGCTGCTGACCAATTGTCAAACGAAACAAGGAACACACACACAAATGCAATAAGCCGCTGTATGCAAAACAAATTGGATTCAAATGAAACAAATTACTTGCATTCCACTCCCCCCCACATATTGCTAGCATTGAACTTGTCTTAAACATTAGTTACAACCATATTATACACACCTTGCGCTCGGGCTTTGCAATTTCCGGCAGTATACTGCAGAAGGGTTTAATAACTTCGAGGAATTTGACTGCAAATAATGAATGGAAAAGGCTGTGATTAGACGCGAAACTCCATTTTTTTAATTCAAGCAAATCACACAATTAGAGCTGCAACCCGAAATTTTATTTTTTTTTTTTGTATACGTAAGCAAAAGAGCAACGGGGGTGCGGGTGCTCGTTCCACTGGAAGCGGCACTTTACTTTACGCGAAAATCGCACTCTTTGGAAATATGCAGTAATTGTGAACTGAACGATGATCTACTTACTTCCCATTGTGTTTGATTTGTGTTAGCGCGCCTCTGGGAAACTGACGGTCTGGTCCGGCTGGACTGTTGCACTTTCTATACAAAAATTAGAAAGTTATACTTTTAGCTGCGCTACGAACGCAACGCACGCCACGGAAAAACGAAAACGAGTGAACACGAAAACACTCGTGTTCGGAAATTTTCGTAAATTAAAGACGTGTCATTCAGTGTGACCGTGACCAAAAAATAAATACCATTAAATACCAATTCAGTTTCGAGAAATACCATTTAAATACCATACCATAAGAAAACCAGGGCAGTCTTAACCCACTTAACACCCCTCTATTTAAAAAGCTGAGCAGCCTTTGTTAGACCACGGAAAATAAAACTGTTTGTAAAGGCTCCTTGTAGCTCCATCCTCCTCTTTACTTAAAAAACAAAAATAACCACCGACATCTTTCACCTGTAACGCGTAAAATATGTTAAAGTTACATAAATTTAGTGGAAATATTAAATACCCCCTGGTCGACAATGGGCTAACGTTCTATTTTATTGATTGAAATCGCATTCCATAATTTTGATATTCCGTTTAATATAACTAGCTAGTTAGCCCTTTCAGCCCTAATTTTATCCAATTCATTAATCATTTTTGTACCTTATTTCCCTTAATTGATGTTAAATTTGTTGTTCCAAGCTCCATTTATATTAATATTAACATTAATAATTGACATGTTTTGTGTTTTATAAATACATTTATCCCGGTTCTGATGCCCATTATTGGTACCCATAAGCTGCACAATTTCGTTAACAATTTTAAAACAGAGACTGCATTAATTAGAGCCTGAAACTACAAATATTACCTCTATTCGATAATGTCCATTGTCCCAAGGTATTCAGATTTGTTGCTCATTTCGTGCCAAAGTTGCAGAACAATGCTGCTAATTCATTTCCCCATGTTGCTGAATCTTTTCCCATACAAATCAAATGTATCTTACGGGAACGCGCATCATTAGGCTGTCAGTGTGATCGCCGGACTTAACGATACGAAAAATACCGAAATATACCATAAATATACCGAGGATATATAGGATATATATTTAGCGCGTCTGAGTACTAGGCTTAAATAACTAAAGTTGAACCGCAAAAAATAATACTTTTTGTAAATTCTACTTGTAGATTAAACCTATCTTTACTATTTACAAAAAAAAAAAAAATATCTCGATATCTTTCACCGTGTTTAATTCCTGCAAGTTTTTATTATATATGGATGTATATCTAATATATTTCAATATCTCCATCCTTCTTCCAAGGGTATCAAATTTGGCATTGTTTGCTAAACAATTTTGATCCATTTCGTGCAACCTCTTTTAACCACTGCTAGTATTTTTGATTGTTTTCTTCGAAAGAGACGCTTCTGTTAAGATATTGTTTTGTTTTTTAGCATAAGTTGATTTTTGGATAGTTATAATCGTCTTTCAGCTTTAACTTTACTATTCAAATATCATTACTAGTATCCATTTTATAACGGCTTAGGTCTTATCATCATTTGTGAAAATGTAAGCGAGATCGTGTAGTCATAGTTATTCCACGAACCCCAATGAATGCCGTGCCTTTGAGAGGTAGTTCTTTTACCATCAACATAATAAATTCCATTGAGGGTGCTGTAACAATAAGAAAATAGTTATGAAAAATGCGTATGAATTAACATCGTTTATTTTGAATAAAATATGAGTACCTTGTAGCGCACTTTTTAAACCACCAACCACCACTATGATCTGTCGCGCAATTGCTTGTCTCAGCCAGGTCATTATCCCGGTCCAATGTGGTAAACTTCATGTCTAGATGGTGAATAAATGAATCTCCGGCTGTGCCTGAATACTCTCCCAGCGACTTCAGTTTGTAGGCTTCATTTTCGCTTCCTAGTTTGAAATCATCGTATCGAGCATATTTTGTGGTTCCATTCACATCTCTAAGTTGAATGTACAACTCGTGAGGCTGGGCCAAGGTCAGTTGATGGATTTTTTCCAGCCCCAGGAAGAAGTTTCTGTGGATGGATCCAAATCCATCTTTGTAATTCGCCCAGCTGCGATTGAAGTCAACACTTCCGTTGATACGCCGTTGAATGACCGTCCATCCAGACGAATCGCAGGGACTTGTAAACGGCTCCATTCCCTTGACTTTTATATTGAAAATGCCATTTTGGCCACTATTGAGACAAGAAATCATCTTCACATCCTCTCTAAGATCCTTGATTTGTTCGTCTTTCACGTTAATTTGTTTGTCCTTTCCCTTGATTTGCTCTCTAAGATCCTTGATTTGTTCGTCTTTTACATGGATTTGATTGACTTTGTCCTTGATTTGTTCGTCTTTTACATTAATTTGTTTGCCATTGCTTTCGCTCTCTAAGATCCTTGATTTGTTCGTCTTTCACATTAATTTGTTTGTCCTTGTCCTTGATTTGTTCGTCTTTCACATTAATTTGTTTGTCCTTGTCCTTGATTTGTTCGTCTTTTACATTAATTTGTTTGTCTTTGCCCCTAATTTGCTCTCTGAGATCCTCGATTTGTTCGTCTTTCAACTTGATTTGTTGAACATTGCTTTTTATTTCCGTCTCACTTTTTAGTAACTGACTCTGCAAATTGTTGATGGTGAGCTCCAGTGAGTGTATTTTGTCTTTCATTTTATTATTGTCATCGGTTGCCTCTTTAAACTTGAGTAAATGATCGAGGAATGGCTGGATAACTGAGAAACAATATCCATTGAACTGCTCCGTGATGGTAACTTCCTGCGCCATTTCGTATCCACTGGCCAGCGAGGACTTCCCTAGCAGAAACATCCAAAGGATAATGACGAAAATCCCCGAGTACCTCATGTTTCACTAGACTCTAGCACTGTTGATGCAAAACTGAACTGATTTCCAATTTAAGTCCCATTTAAATATATTTATTATCACATTGCTCATACGAAATGCGTAATACAGTAGAATACAAGGGCGTAACCAGGATTTCGCGAAGGGGGGGCCACATCAAATCAATTAAACAACACAAAAATGTCCAATGTATTTTACATCAAACAAATTTTGTTTCTTATCAAAAAGTATGCTTAAGGGAGGGGGCAGCTTTACTCCCTGGTTACGCCCTTGTATACATACATATATGTATTTATATTTGATTATTCAGCGAGCAGCGTGGTGAAAAAATTCAAATCTGTTTTAAGTTGTTCGCCTCCTCCGACATGGATTCGAATTTAACGAGACAAGGCCGGGTATGCTAAATATCTTAAAGCGTTCGTTCTGTCATATATGTATGATAGTACATTCAATTAATTTCAATATCAGTATTTCTATATCCTTAATTTAGGACAGCTACAAAAACTTAGGGAACTTATCTGTCATATAAGCAATAGACTAGCAAGAGCATCTGAAGGTTTTGGAAGTGTCCGCATTCTTTATTTTAATCGCCATTAACGTTTTCATAGCTGTAATCTCTGGGACACTGACTCAGACTTAAGCGTCCTTCATCGCGTTCTTTTCCCCCGAGATTCTTGTGCTCTTGTGCCTTGTGCAAATCTTTTTTACTTTATACTGTTTGCCTGCAAATGAATCTTTTTTTGATGAATTATGTTGAGAATCATTTGTTGTCCTGTTTTCTCACAGCGAACACTTTTTCTCACCTAAGAAATATATAATTCCTATTTTTAAATATTGAGAAATGCTCTCACCAGAAAGAATATTTTTTTTTTCCAATAACCCAGCACTTATCAACTCCCTTTACTCTATTAATAGTAAACCACATTGGAAAGGTTTCCATGGCACAGATGAGGCTATTGTTTATTTCAGCATGAAGGTTCATCAGCTTCAGTAAATTCTTCGAGTTCCTTGAGTGTAGAAATATTGCAAATAATCTCAAACTGATCCTCGGTTACCCAATCTGTCCGGATAAGAGTTTCCAGTGGAGAACGAACCCTGTTTGTTGATCAATGCATCGATACATCAAGTCGTCATTGCACACCTTTAAATATTTCCAACAGGCAACATATTTGAATATCGCGCCTACTTTCTACTTTATTTACACCCGTAAATATGCTATCGAATATCTTCGATATAAAAATAGATTATATCGAATGGAGACTCGAAAATGATACGGCAACGCCGCAAAATGTCAGAGCGCTATGCTATCCAAAAACTCTCCACACTCTCCAAAAAAACAAATGCAAAGCAACAATACAAACACACGCATAGCCAATTTAAGCAGCCGTAATATATATGGATTGTCATATAATAGAGAGCGTTCAGGCGACACAGACACAGTATACACATATGCGTGAAAAACTAGCTGGCAACAACGATAGTTGACTAGAGATAGATCCAAATGTCAAGTAAAACTATCAAAACGCTGCGAATAGAATTAATAAATTGAGTGCAAGTATTTAACGCAAAACCATGGCCGCTTCGCTTATCTGTGTGGATATAAGCTCGGAATCGGAGGATGAGGTAAAGCTATAATCGGTCGATTTTGTGTGTTGAAAAGTACAGTTTGTGCATAAGTGTATGTGTATGTGTATTACAATGTATGTGAACTTAATTTTTTTTCGCGCTGCTTTTATTGAGAGCGAAACGGCACACATACCAGTGCAAGTGAGCGGAGTGCTGGTGCTGCCAGACCCAAAAGTGTAGAGTTTTGATGTCTCTTGCACTTGCAATGGGCCCCACAATAATGTTAATTACATTAGCTGAAACCAGTTGATTGTGTGCGTGTGCTAGTCTCTCTCTCAGTCACTCGCTCTCTCTCTCTCTCTCCCCCCCTGGAGTAGCTTTATTTAAGGCGTAATTTATTAGATTAAAAACACAGTTTCGAAATTCAAAGAACTGCACATTACGCGCGCTCTCTCACTCTACACAACTCACACAGACACACACGCACGCACACATGTGTGAAAGCATGCTCAACACTGCATACGGCGCCAGTTTTGTGCGGTTTTGTTTTCGTTCAAAATTGAAAAACTCCCAGCCAACAGGTAGCTCAATTCCTAGGCAAGGGTCCTGTTGGAGTCCATCTAATTCAACCATTTCAACCCTCTTGCAGTGTCCACCTGGTGCCAAGCGACGACGCCTGGATAAGCCCCGCAATGGGACCGCTAAACAGAGCCTGCCGGAAAAGCTGATGAACATACCAAAAGCAGCCGTGTCGGGCGGCAGCGGAGTCAGACTGGGAGCACTTAGTGGAGGAGCAGGAACAGCATCCAATCCAGCCGAATTGCAGCCGCTCAAATCTATGCACATACCCAGTGGCATAACAATCACAAAGCACGGCAAAAACGCCGCCGCCGCCAGCAGCAATGGCATGGTTATCACTTCGATTGCTTCCATGCATGAATATAACAACAACAGCAACAACTTTAACAACAACAACAACAATAGTAATAGTAATAATAATAATAATAGCAAGCATAAGCCACAGAGAACGCCAATGGCTCAGAAAACAGCCTATCCGTCGAACAGCAAGGCACTCGGACAGAGCATTATGATAACCAGTGTATCGTCGCCCAGTCATCAGGCGAAGCCAACGTTGCCCACTCTGCCGGTTAAGCTGGCGCCCGCGCGTCAGCACGTGAAGCTGACAACCGCCCAACAGGTGAAGCTGACGCCGGTTCAACCAGTAAAGACGCCGCCGACGACGGCGACGACGACGACGATGACTATGCCGAATCTTCAGGCGAAGCCAGTGCTCGGCTACCAGGCGAAGGCGTTGCCCACTCTTCAGGTGAAGACGATGCCAACAACAGCGACAAACCAGGCAAAGCCGACGCCCAATTTCCAGGTGCAGCAGACTTCTGTTTACCGCATGAAGGGTGCACCTCTTCCCACCGGCTACCAGATGATGGCTATGCCCACAAACCAGCCCAAACTGACGCCCACAAGCCAGTTGAAGCCGATGCCCAGTAATCAAATAACAGTTTCGGCAGTGGCCCCCAAGCTTGTGTCCCCCCAACAGCAACAGCTGCCACTGGCGGCTGGGCCAGCAAAGAATCAACTCAATGCCGCTGCCAGTCTCCAGGAGAAGACCACGGCCCGGCTGAGTTTGCCAACTCAAAAGATGACCGCAGTACAAATTCAACAACACTTGCAGCAGCAGCAACAGCATCAGCAGCAAAAGAAGCAGCTAATGGCTCAGCAGCTACAGCAAGCTGTCCTGTCCGGTCCACAGTATCAGACGCAGCGCGTCAACATGATTCAGCAGCAGCAGCAGAAACCGCAGCCGTCGTCTCCGCCGGCTCAGAAGTCACTGCCGACACAGAAACCACTGCCCACACTGCAGAGGGCACCGGCGGCGAGAGCAGGAACGCCGCAAATGCAGCTAAAGCAACAGCCACAGCAAATGCAAGTGCAACGGGCGCCACCGCCCGCCCATCTCATCCAGAAGCAGACACCACCGCCACTGCAGCTGATTTCAACGCATCCCCCGCCAGCCCACAGTCCTGCGGCCAAGATCCAGACACCAGCAGTTCGAGCTCCATCCGTGCTACAGATAACGCCCGTGCCCCGTGTTCATCCTGGCCTCACAATGAAGCAAGTGCCTAACCCGGCGGTGGCCAGTAGTGCCGCTCGCACGCTGCCGTATAGGGGCCCTGCCAGCAAATCGGGCACGCCTCCGCTGACAGCCCATCTGCAGTCGTTTACGACCAGTGCCACGCCACCGCAACGGTTGCTGGCCACGCCGCCGCACTGCTCGGCGGCGCTGAACGAGCCGCTGCTGGTGAATCTTCCGCCCACCACAAGCATCACGCCCCAGCTGACGCCGACGACCACACCGCCGCCGGCAGCGACAGCCCTGCAGCACCAGCAACTGGCCAAGGCATCCGCCTTCAAGTTAAACTCCCTGCCGGGTGCGAGTATCTCGCCAGTGCCCGCCAAGCCGGCGGCCAACATCAAGCGAATCCAGCCGATCACAGTGCTCAAGAAATCCGACGAGGACTGGCGCCGACATCTGGCGCAGCAGCATCTGCAGCACCAACAGCAACTCCAGATGCAGCAAAGGCAGCGGGATCAGCAGGTGGCGCCGCCAACCATTGTCCTGGTGGAGTCACCGCCCACCACGCCGCCCACAGATAAACAGGAGACGGCTGACGCAGAGAAACCGCCGATGCAGACAACGCCGGCGGCACAGAGAAAACCGACTAGGTGTACGCCAGCGCCAGCGCCAGTCCGAGTCAATTCCCCAATAGACACATCAAAAGCAAATCAGGTGAAAAAGGTAAATCCACCTGCGGAAATAGTCGTCAACTTGGACGATCTGCCTGAGACGCCACCCGCAAAGCAGCCATCCGAGATGAAGAAGCCATCAGCCGCACCACCGTCATTGCCAGAGAAACCTGCCCCAAAGCCTGCAGAACGGGAACCCTTTGTGCCGGAGTACGCGGCACTGCTCCTGCTCTGCGCCGAAGCGGATAACTCAAAGGAAATGACGAAACTCATTGAAACAAAGCTAACAAAATATTACTACAGTGTACACGAGAGTTTTGTCAAGTCGCGCGGCTTCCGGAAGCTGCTGGCATCGGCCATGGAGCGGATCAAAGCCGAACCGGATATGGTCTACATGCACCTCAGCGGCGTGGTGGAAGAGCTGAAGGCCAGACGCAAGGCGAAGGTGGTGATGATGGCATCAGTGCCAGAGGCAGAGGCAGTGCCCGAGAAGGCTCCAGTCAGGGAAGTGGCACCAATTAACCCGTCCACACGCGCTGCGCTTGAATTTAAGCCAGAACGCGAGCAGGATGATGCAAATGATGCTGCTGGCCCTGAACCCATTTCGCCGAGCATTGACAAGCGCACCGATGCGCACATCAGGCGAATGAACATTGCCCTGCATAGGATAAACAAGAGGATACAGGCGCTGGAGAATGCCGAAGTGGACTGGGATGATGATGACAACTCGAGCTATTTGACGGTGGAGCGCTACAAGAAGCGCGCCTGCGAAATCTATGAGAAAATCTGTGATCTAACCGGCGAGAGCAAGAGTGCCTTTCGCCAGCTGAAGCAACCGATCCGATTCGAGGACAGTCCCTATCCCCAGTTCAATCGTGTGCTATCCTCCTTTGTGAATCGCATGCAAGAGTTCCCCGACTACCATGACGTCCTGCAGCTGCTCGAGCATTGCAATAAGATGAACGAAATGGGCCTGGCCTCCTTCGAGATGAAGCGAATAGGTAAGAATGCTTTTGCTGCCTTAGGGCGGCTGGCCCGGCCACGGAGACAAGTCTCAAGTCTGCAAGCACTGAACTCATCTCTTTGTGAACATTTGCAGCCGGCGATGCCTTCCTTTCGGTGGGACGACTGCTGCAGTCGAAGCGTAAAAAGGATCTGTATGAAACGGCCAATCACTTTACGGGCAGTGTCAAGGATCCGGCTGCCACGGACCCGGAGCTGATGGCCAAGCTAAAGGCTAACGCCAAGAAGCATACCAAAATTAGTGATGTACTGGCAAAGTGAGCAAAATCGAACGTTAATTATCTTCCCCTTCAGTTTCGTTGCTAATTCGGAGACATATTCCTCTTTGTAGATATTCGCGGGAGCAGGATCTCAATGCGGACAACTTGCGGGAGGCGCGTCTCAAAAAGCAAAAGGAAGCGGCAGCCGCTGCAGCTGTGATAGAGGAAGAAGACGATGACAAGCCGTGCACCAGTGCCCAGGCGGCTGCCAAGGCCGCCTTGCTCAATGGTGCTGCAGCACGTCCTCCCGATGCTGCAACTGGCTGTGCAGCAATCGATGATGACGACGATGATGAGGAGGAGGAAGACTCTGAATCGGAGGAAGAGGAGGAGGAGGAGGATCTTGATGAATTTGTGGACAAATTCAAGGCAAACGGCGACATAAGCGATGCCGATTCGGAGATTGAAGCGGAAACATTGACTGACACAACACCAAAGACAGATGCGTTGGCCGCTTCGAAGGATGTGATAGACATAACGAGAGATGAGACTGCCGACAGCGATGAGAAGGCCAATCCCATGCTTAAGCCCAACGATGCACCGCCCAATGGCAAACTGAAGATTATATCCGTTTCTAGTTTGAATGCCAGCGTCGTCAACGAGCAGGCACAGGAACATGCGCAGGCACTGGCACAGGCACCGTCGCATAAAAGCAAACAGAGCTCGAATGAGTTGCCAAAGCGCGTTATTGCCGCTGAGATTATCATTTCCGACGAAGAGTCATAGTCCGATTGGGGACGCGCATCTGCAGGACAGCCACAGCCGCCTGCCACCTAAGTTTTGTTTTATTTTAAGTTATTTATTCCACCCCCCCAATATTAGTTGATTATTTTCTAATCCATTTTTACATTCATTCAGACAGAATGGCATTGTAATTGTAATTGTAATTGTGTGTTCCCCCCCTTGGGCGAGGGTATATGCAACGCGCAGCCACACAAAATCAACAACAAACTGTAAATATTTACGAGAGAACATTAAGCATTACTATTAAGCTAAGATTGTTTTGCAAAAACACAAAGAAACAATTATTGAGAGTAATCTGAGTCGCGTTTAAAGTTGAAGAATCTCCTGCAGATACTTGGCTATAGGCGAGTCATCGATGGCCGTTTGCTCGATAATATCAAAGTGATCGTATCCCTGCATCACCTTGAAACTTGTGGGAAATCCGGCACTCTCCAAAACCTGCCCAAATACGCGACTTTGCTCGATGAATGTCACGCTTTCGTGCTCTGCGGCCATCACATGGAATTGAATGGAACTCCAGGACTTGGCATCCGTATAAGTCCACAAAATGGGCGACAGTGCCACGGCCTTGTCTGCGTTTAGCCCGAGAATATTATCGGGATTCACATTCTCCAGGGACCACAGCTCGCGTAGATCGTAGACACCACACATAAAGATCAGCGAGCGGATAATAGCACGTCTCTCGGGAGTTACCACTGCTGGGGCGTTTAGGATCTGTGCCAGCATGTGTCCGCCCGCCGAATGCCCAGCGAAATGTATCTCTGTGGTCTTTGATTTCTCGGCATATTCGAAGGTCCAGTTCAGAAAATTGGTAAACTCTAGCATCAGCTGCTGCAGGGTCACCTGTGGGCACAGATTGTAGTCCATGACAGCCACCCGGTAGCCACGACGCACCAGCGGACCGACAATGGAGCAGGACTGGGTTATGTCCAGCATTTGCCAGTAGCCCCCATGGACATACACAAAGAGGGGAGCCGAATCGCTGCTGGAATCGTTGTAAAAGACATCCACGATTTGACGATCGTCTTGGCCGCCATAACGTAAATGTTCAACTTTAATTCCCTGCTTGGCAGTCAGCTCTTTACCCTCTGGAATGGTTGCACCAGATCATTGTTGTAGATCTTAATTTATTTCTCGTTTGCTTACGTTTCACTGTCAGCTCTATGAAATGATCTTGCACGGCCAGATTGGGTGCGGGCTGATCTTGGAACCGTATGGTGTGATAGCTGGGAAAGTAATCGCGCTCCAGGTCAGTGCTTTTGGGATTATACATAGTTACGTTGCAGTGATAAGAATATCTCTCGGGGGGGGTCAAATGAAAACTGAAAAAGTATGCGAAATTGGTCCACTAATTTATATAAATTGAGTTCTATATATTGCAGCTTGCGGTTAAGTACTATGCAGTTCTCCGATCTGAGTTATTTTTCGAACAAGTCTGACCGGTCTAAATGCGATTGTAAAATTGAGCTTAAACGTTCAATTCTGCACTCAGTTGCAAGTGTTTTACAGTACTGGAACTAAAATGACCGCCAAAATCCATGTAGCGCACCAAAAATATCGAAATTTGTTGGTAGTGGTGTGATCTGCAAAAAAAAACGGTACATATAATTCCGTGGAAAACTGATTTATCAATCGGATAAAATTATGTTTGTAGTGGTGAGGGTCCTAGCTAGCTATGAATATCAAATCGAATATTAAAATCGGCGAATATGATCTATTTCGTCAGTGTCTCTGTCGAAATTTACGTAAATATGTTGTTCATATGCTGCAAATGTGTAGTTAGCGTGTAGTTACCATGTATTACATCAATTTTGCCATCAAAAGACCATTAATTGAACCTTATTTTATGTATAATCAAATAGAAATGAGTACCGTACCTAAAAAAAGCGATTTATTTAGCAAATTAATCAATTTATCGTAGAAAATTATATGATGAATGGATCGATTTTGGTTCCATTTTCTGCGGTATATTTATGGTATATTTTGAATATGATAAGTATGTTTTGGTATATTTCTGAGGGTATGACGGTATATTTTATTGATAAATTCGCGGTCACACTGAAACCCACTAGACGGCCACGCTAGTGAAAAAATCCAAAAAATTATATTTTAAACTAGAAATAAACTGAAATAAAAGTTCGTAAGTGGTTTTACGACTTTCGCTGCGCATCTCCACAAAATTTTGATTTCTTCAAACGTGCTAGACACCGACGAGGAGACTTTTTCACGCGGATCCCAACCGCGCCAGCCAGCAGCGGAAAGAAAAAAAATTTAACATGGCCGAGGACTTTGATGTTGAGGCAATGCTCGAGGCGCCGTACCAGAAAAACGTAAGTTTCCACTCCATGCACACAAGTATAGAAGTATTGAACATTAAATTAAGCCACAAAACAAATGGTTTGTACCAACAAAATGAAATTATTTTCACTGCGAAGAAAAACAGTTACTCTACATGTATGTTTGTATACTTCTTTTCTACATAGACACCCACATAGCGCGCGCCGTTCGTACGTGCATTTTGTGTTTGTATGTAAGTCGTCGTCTCGGGCACACACACACACAAGCGTATACAAATGTATATATATATATGTGCATTCAATGCATACTAAGTGTCTTAAATCGATTTTTTTAACCTAATTTTTCTTTCATAAATGAAATCGGTGATTCTTTTGTTTCTCCATAAATTTTCGTACCTTGCGCCCACACACGGAAAATAGTTTTTCCCGCGGCAATTTGTGTGCGTGCGAAACTCTGTTCGTTTGTGGGTGCATGTGTATGTACATATGTATGTGATGTTTACTTTATGCTGTGAGACATTTAACGGTGAACTGAACCCCCAGGGATGTCCTCCAGTGGGGGGTACGGTACAGTGGGTGGCACGGCCAGTGGCCAAAAAACAATTATAAAATGTGTCGTAAAAACTTTTCTCTATTTCATGGACTTGTAAAACAAAAACACATTCTACGGACTGTCACGTCACGGATACTTTCAGCATTTTCTTCAATTTGTTTATTTACTCAACCGTTTTCATTAGCTTATCTTATCAGGGTAGACCATTTTCTCTCCAGCTGTTTGAAAATGTAAAACGTTTGCGACCCACAAAAAATTAATCGGTCTCTCGGTTCTAATTAAAAGCAGATAAGGAAAATCGTAAGATCGTCATCGCTCATGGCAAAGTGTTCTGTGTCTAAACTAAAGAGTAGTACTAACGGATTTGGGTACTCTTAAACTATTAACAATCTCCTTCTTTTTCCATAACTTAATAAGGTTTCGAGGGGAATAATACCTGTAATCGGAAATATTTTAAAATTAAAAATGCATTATACTTGGAGAGTTCTATTGCAGTTCTCTAATACAAAAATCAAGCAAATGATATTCTCTTCACCAAGTTAATTGTTTATGACCAGTCTTTTATTATATTTTTGATTTATCTTATATTCCCAGCTCGAAATAAAAGAAGAACTCCAAGAAGTTCCCATTAACACTTTGAACTCTTTCTGTTCAACAGATAACTGATATGAGTAGTTTTACAACAAATGAATCCACATGTGAATTCTATTTCTATTCAACATTCTCTTATTTGTCCATTATACATAGTCCCCCAACCACCCACTTATATGTAGATTGAAGCAACATCTCTGCCTCAATCTGCAAACCTTTGAGTTGATTGCTCTTATTTCTCCCTCTCTCTGCTCTCTTAACTTACACACAACTCCCTCCCAACCAACCAACAATTCAATCAATCAATCAAATCAATGAAAAAAAAAAAATTACAACAAATTTAAAAAACAATGCTAGAATAATCCTGAAGGGTGAAATGTCTTTGCAGAGAATCGTATAAGCTCAATATTGTTGCTAGAGATTGTTTTGGTCATTCTAAACACAAAAAGCTGGAGACCATTTGGTAAGTTTTGAATGTGCCACAGAAGCTGCGAATTAAAAAAATCAAACGAAAAACAAAATCAAAATATATGTAAAAAGAACAAAAAAATACAACAACAACAACAAAAAAAAAAACCAAAAAGAAATGAAACCAAAACATATCTAGGAATTTTTTGGTGTTTAAAAAATACTGTATGATTTTTTGTTTAAGTTTGAGTTTACATTTTTGTTTTTCCACAACACAAACAATTCCAATTTGCAATTCTCGTTACTTTACTGCTTTTTTGTATATCCAATCAAAATGAAACTGAACGTGCACTAAATTTCAGATAAACTCTACCTAACTTGTCTGGGGCAGCAGGCAGCACTACTACTACTCCACTCTACTACTACTCTCACTCACAAAAGACAGACCAGAATGAATGAAAGTCAGTCTCTAAAAGAAAGTCCAAACCAAAAAAAATATATAAGAACACAAAAACAAAACAAAAAAATAAGGTCTAAACGAAACGAAAACATAAAACTGAATCCGTGAAAAAGTAATAAGCAATTTCTATACACCATATATAGCATTATCATCTTGTACTTATATAATGTCTATGTCCTATATCTATGTGTAGACGATGTCGTCTCTATTGAGAACCAAATCAACCAGTACCAAAGTCCACCTCCACTACTACTCCACTAGCCAGCGCTAAAAAAAAAAACAAAAAACAAAAAAACGAAAAAAACAAAAACAAACATTCCCCCAAAAACGAAACCGTGAAAGAGAATCGAGAATGAGAATCGAGCATGAGATGAGAAATGATGTGGAGACAACATTTCTTGCGGGTCGTCGTGAAACCATCTTCTGATCTGTGTGTGTGCCATAATCAGATGCATATATAATATATATGTGTGTGTACTATATATTTATATCAAAACTATTTTTTAAGATCTCTCTATATATCTCTCTGTCTCTCTATTATGGCTATAAATTGGCAATGATCCCCCATGATCATTGTTGACTTAAGCATTTCTATTTTATATACTTGCAGATACACAAAAATTTAACTAATTTACTTTGATTTGCTTTCTCTTATTCAAAAAAAAAAAAAATAATAATATATACTAAAAAATATATATACGAAAAAAAAAATGTTACGAAAACTGAAACATAATATATCATGAAAACCAAAACAAATGATATAAATCGATAAATCAACCAACATCAAAACCAACGCGACAACAACGTAACGTACGAAACCACAACAAAAACCCCCACCCACAACCCACAAAAAAAAAAAAAAAAAAAAACAAAATTAAAAAATTATATGTATGTACATTATTGCTTGCGATCGATCCCCCAACCCACCCACCTCTACTCCCCCTATCCATGCCCAATCCAACACCGAAAACCCAACCAAAAATCCAATATCCGAAACAAACATACAAAAACGAAACCTATCTGTGTATAGAGTGTCAGTGCGGGCAGCGGTGGACGTGGAGGACGCGGGCGCAGCAATGGCAGTGATGGCAGTCCCAGCGGTGGTGGTCCGCAGGCAGAGATCAACGATGCTCATGCACACAATGGATCACGCAATGGCAGTGGCAGTGGCGGAGGCGCCAGCTCAAACAAAAAGCCAACGAAACGATCTCGGTAAGATATTAAAACATACTGGAAATATTTGTTACAACCACTAAGAGATTTCCATTTTGTATTGTAGCAGTCGCAGCGGGTCGCGTGACAAATCCAGAAGAGATCGCGGTGAACGCAGCGGCGGTGGAGATCGTGGCGATCGCAGTGGCGGTGGCGGTGGCGGCGATCGCAACAGCTATCGCGACAAGGAGAAGGATAGAGAGCGCGATCGCCATCGGGATGCTGGTCCTGGCAAACGTCCTGGCAACGAGCGGGAACGGGACAAGCAGGAAAGATCACGTCGCAGTCGATCAAGGGAAGAGCGTGGCGCAGGAGGACCAGGCGGTGCTGGCGATGATCGTCGCGTACGCTATGGTGATCGTGGTGAGAGGGATCGCCGCTCTCGGGATCGTCGTGACGGCAGCAAGCCCATACAACGCGATCGATCCAGGGACAGGCGTCGACGAAGTCGCTCGCGTGAACAGCCGCGCAAGCGATTGAGTCCGGTTCCGGTGCGTGAACGCAAGCGTAGTCCTTCGCGACCAAGAGATAAAACGTAAGTTTATAATATAAATATGCTTATGCGGAGTATTCCCATCTAATCTATGGAATCCCTTGGCCCCCACAGCAATAATCGTCGTCGGGGCAGCTATTCGCCTCGTCGTCGATCGCAACCAAATGGCGGCGGTGGCGGTGGTGGTGGCGATCGTACGCCACCCACCGAGCTGAGTCCCGAGGAGCGGGATGCTCGAACTGTGTTCTGCATTCAGCTATCGCAACGTGTTCGGGCCCGTGACCTGGAGGAGTTCTTCTCCAGCGTGGGCAAGGTGCGCGATGTGCGTCTGATTACGTGCAACAAGACGAAACGCTTCAAGGGGATTGCCTACATCGAGTTTGAGGATCCCGAATCGGTGGCCCTGGCTCTGGGTCTGTCCGGCCAGCGGCTGCTCGGCGTACCCATTATG